CTTCAACTCTTTATTATTATTTTCAAGATTGTTCAACACTGAGGAGAATGATCACACACTTCAAGATTGTTGAACACTGAGGAGAATGATCACACATTGAGACTCACCTAAACGCTGACAACAAAGATCATAAAGTCTAACTTTACTGACAAGATAAACCTTATTCTTGATACAATATTAATTCCAATGTAACAGTATATTGGTTTATCACACAGAAACAAGAAAATAGAGAGTAGAAAAAAACAACTCAAAGACAACAGTAGTATTAATTTGTGTAATACCTCAACAATTATATGTTTTATGAATGAATATACATATATATAGCAATATATAATTTTTTTTTAAGAAACATAATTAATTAACTTTTTTGGCTTGACTAGTTACTAACAATCATTTGTTTGTAAATATCTATTGATATTGTCTATTAAATCAATATTATTTTAATTTTTAGCTAATATAATTATCATATTATAACTTTTATATTTCTTTTACACTAAAAATTTATTTATTTATTTTAATTTCAAACTTGCTTCATAATTAAAATTAATATATATATATATATATATATATATATATATATATATTGCTTTTATTTTTTTAATATGTAAAAGTGATAGAAATTGTCAAAATAATCTTTTAAAGTTTTATTGTAACTTTTGTTAAATATCATTTTCTTTCTTGTTCAAATTAAAGATATTAAATTAGTTTATATATAATATAAATAAAAAATGTAATATCCATTTTTATTTTTATTTTTATAATATGTTCATAACCTCAATTTTATTTATGAAAAAAATTATTTTTTCTTCTAATTTTTATTTTTTTTTTAAATTACTTACCGAAAAGTTTGTCTTGTAACTTATAAATGGATTACATCAAGTTCAAACTAAATTATTCTAAAATAAATAAATATATATATATATATATATATATATATATATATATATATAATCATTACTTTTTATTTGTATTATGTCATAAATTTGAAATTTTTTCTTTCTTGCAAAACTAAATATTTTAAATTACGAAAGATTAATTAAATATTATAAATTATAAATTATGCTTTTATTCCACCAATACAGATCCAAAGGAAAAGATAAAATATTGCAAAATAATATCATAGCTCCCAATTGCTTCAAAGATTTTATACTTTAAATAAAATCTTAATAGTAAGATTATGTATTGATTAATAAGCTCAAGAATTAAACAAACCAAAATACTATTATAAAACAAAATATTATGATCCAAGATCCTATTCCATTTAAAAAAAAAATACATGAATAGAATAAAAATTGTTATTTAAAAAATAAATTTCCCATTCACTTAAAAATGTTATTTAAAAAAAATACATGACTCGAGGTATATTTACTTTCATCATCCGTAATACTTTTATCTTGTTTTCACTTTACTTTTCAACCATTCTTTTAAATTTTTCAAATACAATCAACACTTCATTTTTCCTTCTCAACAAATAAATCCACATTTTCTTTCTGAGATCATCTATAAAAGTAATAATATACCTATTTCCGCCGAGTGTTTCAACTTGTATTGGCCTGCAAACATCAGAGTACAACATACCAATTGTTTTGCCAGCAACAAATTTCTTGAACTTTGGTCTGACTTGCTTGCATTGAATGCATTCTTCTACAAACTTCTACTGGAATCACAATTGAGGGGAGTTCAGTAACCAGATTCTTGTAACTAAGCTTGTGCAAATGCTAAAAATTCAGATGGTTGAACCTATTATGCCATAACCACTAACTCCTATTATCTGCAGTACCAAAACATTCATGTCTTCATGTATTCATACTAACATAGAATGTTCTATTTTCAGAAAGATTTGTATGAACTACCAATTTATGTTTTTTGTCATATATACTCAAACAATTCTCTTTCATTTTCATGACAAATCTTTTCTGCAAAAGTTGCCTGAGAGTCATCAAGTTTGTCTTCAAACCTGGTATATATAGCACATCATCAATGATGATTTCTCTACCACTATGACCTTCAACACTACATCAAGATTGTTGTTGTCGGCAAGTCTGATTTTGCCTTGAGACGCATCATTAATCTTGATGAACTAATCTCTCCTCCTAGTCATATGCGTGGAGCACCCCGAATTAAGATACCGATAAGAGGTTTCTTCTGAATTTAGATCACTAGTTTTTACCATTAACATCACCATATCATAATATGAAGAAGCTTTATCTTGAGCTAAATTAGCTTGGCTATTTGAGTTGTTCTTGGCACCTTCACCATCACAACATTCACATATAAAGTGATCATACTTCTGACAATTGTAACACTTCACCTTCTTTTTGTCAAACTACCATTCTTTATGGTTATTAGAGGTGTTCTGCTGCTTCTTGTGATCTTTCTTACTCTTAAAAGTATCACTTGTTTTCTCATCTTGTTTATTCTTTTTTAACAGTTTCTTTCCTTTTGAATTGCTGTATTTTCCCTTTTGGACTGTTCTAGCTTGAAGAGTTTGCTCTTGATTATACCTCCTCTTATTAATATAAACTCATTCGCTTCAAGAGAATGTTGCAAAGCTTCTACCTCCATCTTCTCTAAGTCTTTTGTTTCTTCAATTGTCAATACAACATGATCAAATATTTACGGAATATTCTCAAAATCTTATCAACAACCTGTTGATCAATGATTGTATTTCTACGGACCTTGATTGCATTCGCATGTTTTTGAACTTTATCAAAAAGTAATCAACAATGGTTTCATTCTCATCCATGCTGAGAAACTCAAATTGCCTCCATCTTGACCTTCTTGTTCTTGTCTCCATCAACAAAATCTCCCAACACCCTTTCGCTGTTGCAACTTTGAAAATTTTGCTAAAGATCTTCGGTCCAATACATTGGTAAATGAAAAATCTAGCCTAGTTGTTCAACTTTTGAAGATTCTTGAAGTGCTTCTTGGCTTCTTTTGTAGTCTTGTCTCTAAGGTCTTCAAGTTCACTCATCACCACATTCGCTACATCTTGAAACCCAAAAACAATTAACATTTTTATCTTATAATCATCAAAGTCCTTTTCATCAAACACCTTTAATGCACCTTGAATGATACTCTCATTCCCGAGTCATCTTGAATCTGTAAACCCAAGAGTTTCACCAATCTTGATATTTTCAACAACTCTTCTTCTTTATTTTCAAGATTGTTCATCATTGAAGAGAATAACCACACACTGAGACTAACCCAAACACTAACAACAAATATCATAAAGTTTCACTTCACTCACAGGATAAACCTTGTTTTTGATACCATATTAATTCCAATGTATCAGTATATTGATTTATCACATATAAACAAGAAAATAGAGAGTAGAGAAAAATAACCCAAAGACAATAGTAGTATCAATTTGTATAATACTTCAACAACTGTATATTTTATAAATGAATATGCACATATATAACAATATATAATTTGTTTTTAAAAGAAACATAATTAACTAACTTTTTACTTAATTATTTACTAACAATAATTTATTTATAAATATGTACTGATATTATCTATTTAATCATATTATTTAAATTTTTGTGACTAATATAATTATCACATTATAACTTTTAGATTTCTTTTACACTAAAAATTTATTTATTTTAAATTCAAATATGAAATACAATTTGCTTCATAATTAAAATTAATATATATATATATATATATATATATATATATATATATATAATCTGTAAAAGTGATAGAAATTATCAAAGTCATTTTTTAAAGTTTTATTGTAATTTTTTGTCGATATCATTTTCCTTCATGTTGTTCAAATTAAAGATATTAAATATTTTTTAACTTATTTTAAATATAATTTTCAAAATTAACTACTATTAAAAAAATTAAAATTAGTTTATGTATAATATAAAAAAATATAATATCAATTTTTTTTATTTTTATAATATGTTCATAACTTATATTTCGTTTATGAGAAAAATTATTTTTTTCTTCCAATTTTTATTTTTTTAAATTACTTACCAAAAAGTTTGTCAAATCATATTATAATTTATAACTAGATTACATCAAGTTCATACTAAAGTTATTCCTATATATATATATATATATATATAATCATTACTTTTTATCTGTACTATTTAAATATTATAAATTTGGAATATTTTCTTTCTATTTATGGCTCCTAATTGCTTCAAAGCTTTTATGCTTTAAATAAAATCTTAATAGTAAGATTATGTATTAAGTAATAAGCTCCAAAATTAAACAAACCAAAATACTATTATGAAATAAAAGAGTTATGTTCATGAATTTATAAATGATCAAATCCTATTCCATTTTAAAAAATACATGAATAGAATAAAAATTGTTATTTAAAAAATTAATTTCTCATTCACTTAAAAATGCTAAATGATAAATTAATTTAAAAATAGTCCTATATACATTGAAAAAAGTCATTGTTAAATTAAAAGTAAAAACTCTTATAAGCAATAACTGTGATAAGTTTTAGAAAAATAGTTCAAAATCTTAAAATATTTAATAAACTCAATCAATTTAAGATTTTAATAAGTAAATTTTAGTATGAAAAAAAAATGCAAGAGTATGAGATTGAGAAAATATTAAGAACAAATAAATTATTAAAATCTTAGTTGAACTAAGTAAGGAGTTTAACGACAAATTAAATATCAATCCTTATAGCTTTCTTAATTTTGTGTTGAAACATTAATAAAATAAAATTACACGGAGGGAACATGAATGGATCTCCATATATAGCTTTTCTCTTTTCATGCAAAAGAATTATCACCACCGATACTAATTACATCACAATTTACGCGGGCACCTAATCCTAGATTTTTAAGGAAGGAACCTAAAAATTCTCAAATTTACGACCACTTTGAAAGGTTAAGACAAAAGAAAAAATAAAATTCTTCTCTACTTGTGTCACCTTATCATAAGGGAGTGCACATAAATATATTCCATTTATACATGGTATATATGAAGGAGTCAAATGAAGATATAAAACCATAACTTACAAAATGGAAAATGTACTGGAGTTAGAACATGAGCAAACACATGAACCACCCTCTTCTTCATCTCCTGCTTCTCCTTCATCAAGGCAAGCAGGAGGATGGAGATCTATCAAGTACATTATTGGTAATTTCCTCTACATTTTATAATTTATGTGACGATTAATGTTTATTGTTCTAATGCATGTTGTTTGATTTGTAAAGGAAATGAGTCATTCGAGAAATTGGCATCCATGAGTTTGATATCAAATCTGACAATGTACTTGCTCACAAATTACAACCTGAGTGGCATATATGTGGTGAATGTGGTGCAAATTTGGAATGGATCCTCCAATATCTTCTCAATAGTTGGAGCTTTCATTTCTGATACTTATCTTGGAAAGTTTTGGACCCTCATCTCTGGCTCTATTTTCTCACTTTTGGTAAGGAGAATCACATACTTTTTCCATTTAATCATGTTTTAATTGTCAATTTCTACCTTTCAAAAATATGAATTATTCAGTGATTATATATATATATATATATATATATATAGAGAGAGAGAGAGAGAGAGAGATTGATAAAACAAAATATAACAAATCATATCCAACTTACTCACACGTAAGTTAATTAAAAAACTATATTAGACTTGTAAGTAATAATGTAATGGAATACTATGATTGAACATTACACGCCAAAGTTTCAAATTCTTATTTACTTCTTAACTAAGAAAAATCATGTATATACGTTACAAGTTTGGGTTGCACTTGACAGGGTATTTTGACCATAACCCTTACAGCAGGTATACATCAACTAAGACCTCATCCCTGCGCCGTTGAACCTCATTGCCAATCTCCACGTGCTTGGCAGCTAGCAGTCCTCTTTTTAGGTCTTGGATTGTTATCCATAGGAGCTGGTGGCATTAGGCCATGCAACATTGCTTTTGGTGCGGATCAATTTGACACCAAGACAAAGAAGGGTATGGCACAGTTTGAGAGTTTCTTCAATTGGTGGTACTTCTCTTTCACCATTGCACTCATTATAGCACTCACTGCTGTTATCTACATTCAAACTAATGTAAGTTGGACTCTAGGTTTTGCCATTCCAACTTGTTGTCTTGCTTTCTCAATAACCATCTTTATACTTGGTCGCCACACTTATATTTGCAAGAAGCCTCAAGGGAGCATATTCTCAGACATGGCTAAAGTCATTGTAGCATCCTTTAGGAAACGCAAAATACAGGCTTCTGGTAAAACCATTTATAATCCTTCTTCCATATCAGAGGAAGCAAAATTGGAGAATACAAAGATTGTTCAGACTGAGAGGTTCAAGTTCCTTGATAAGGCTGCTATAATAGTTGATCCTAGTGAATTGAATGACCAAGGCATGGCTAGGAATGTTTGGAGACTTTGTAGCTTGCAACAAGTGGAACATTTAAAATGTCTGTTGGGAATTCTACCAGTGTGGGTGACAGGAATTTGTTGCTTCATTGTGATGGATCAACAGAACACTTTTGGGGTGCTTCAAGTTGTTCAAACCGATAGGTCGATTGGGTCCCACTTCAAGGTTCCACCTGGTTGGATGAACCTGACATCAATGATAACACTTGCATTTTGGATATTCATTTATGAATGTGTCTACATTCCCATTGCGAAAAGGCTTACTAAAAAGGTTCCAAGATTGAACTTGAGGCAAAGAATCAAAATTGGGATTTTGTTTTCCATCTTATGCATGTTGGTTGCAGCAATTGTTGAAAAGAATCGTCGTGACTCAGCTTTGAAACACAACATGTATATTTCACCAATAAGTTTTGCATTGTTTCTACCTCAGTTTGCATTATCAGGCCTGAATGAGGCCTTTGCTGTTGTTGCTATAATGGAATTCTTCACCTTACAAATGCCAGAGAACATGAGGAGTGTTTCTGGGGCAGTCTTTTTTCTAAGCTTGTCCATTGCAAACTATGTAGGATCCTTGATAGTCAATATTGTCCACAAAATAACATCTCACAATGGAAAAACATTATGGGTAGGAGGTCATGATTTAAATCAAAATAGGCTTGACTACTACTATTATCTCATTGCTTTTATGGGATTTTTGAATTTTATCTATTTTTATTTTTTTGCATCCTATTATTGTGACAACAACAATGACAAAACAGAGGCGGAACAAGAACTTTCAAATATTGAAGGAGAATCTTTTGCATCAAATGACGAGGAAAAAGTCTTGGATAAAGCAGACATCACACAAAGGACAACATAACCATATTCATCTCCAAATTAAAAATACTTCAATTTTTTTTAATGTTATGTATTTAATTAGTAGATTTTTTTTTTAAGAAACTTTATATAAATAAGTTTTAGGTAGATTTATATTTTTTACTTTGTATCCTGACACTTTGTAATGAAGTATTAGTTTAAACTTGTTAAAAAAAATCTACATTTTTGGTATCTAGATACATTGTCTTTCTTTCACAAATCAAAGTGTTTTTCAATTTTAGTTTATTTATACTCATGTCACTTTGATGGTTATTTTTATTTAAATAATCAATCTAAATAAATTGATTTTTTTTAAATAATAAATTAATCATAAGCTTTATTTATTCATCCTCATCTTTAACCACATCCACCGAATTATAAACATTGGAATAATCACATATTTTGAGTTTGCGGCTTGAAGCGAAATTCCTTCCATATAAACGTTGAATCAATGTTTGATTTCTTAGTATACTGGGTGGCTCAATTGGGACTTTCTTCATGTAACAATACAAATATTACAACTTGACAAGTTTAAGGAGTTTTATGCTAACCTTTTTCTTAATCAAACTTTAATATAATCACATGAGCAAACTTTGGAAGAGAACTGGGGAAGGGCCCAAAGGCCCATTGTTAATCATGCGTGGGCTTCTACTGTGTGGCCTGTCTGTAATACCATATGTACCAACTGGATGATTGATCCACCTCCAAATTTGACTTGAGAAGATGTATATAGTTAAAAAGTATAATTTCTTGATTTATTCTTCTCTGAACTTTTTAGAAGGATTACAAAGGGTTGAACTTTCTAAACAACTTTGAAGAACTGAATTTAAAATCTATTTTACAATAAAAAGAATATTATATTTTAAATGAACATAGAATATAATATAGGATGAACGAGTAATGGGAAAAATGTAGCCACACTCTTTTGCTCTTTGAACTTCTCATCAGCCTACTTTTATTCTTTGTTTTTTTTTCTTTCAGAAATTAGATTTTGTAATATAATTATGTTCCAATAATATATTTTTAAAACTAGTTTTTGTAAAATTGGGAATTCATTTTTGCAATATAAATTTCGACATTGCATGAACTAATTTACGTAACACATTGGAATTAAACTAACTATATTATGAGATTAGATTTTTTATAGATCCATGAAAAAGTTCATATTTGTTTCAAATTATAATGTTAAATTTTCAGAGGCCACATTTAAAAAAAAAATTATATATAAAAGTAGCATTTTTCACCTATAGATTTGGCTGAATTGAGTAATTCCAGGAAAAAAATTAAAAAAAAATTAAAAATAAAACTATAAAACTATAAAGTTGGAGAAATTTGTTTTAGAAAAGAACTTCCTTTAAAAATAAAATTAAAAAATTTCTGAAAATGTAAATTGAAAATCAAATCAGTTGAGTTTTTAAGTAAAAATAAGTGGCTAAAATAATAATATTATAATGTATTAAAAACTTATTTAGCATCCTAAAAATATATTTAGCATATTTTTAGTTTCAGGAACTAATGTGTGACTTTTAAAATTTATAGAGACTAAAATAATTATTTATTTATTACAAGATGAAAACAAAATGCCATTTTAGTTTGTAGAAATGTACAGAAATATAAATTAATTATTGAAATCACGGAAATTTTAAATAAACTTCTAACCGTTCATCCAAATTTTTAACCTTAATTACTTATCATCATTGATTTTTAAATATGTGTTAATATTACCCATTAAGTTTTTTAATGATTTAAACTAATAGTTTTATAATTACTATATTATAAAAAAATAAATAGTAAAAGAATTTATAACTCTTATTCAACCAGTATCCTCTTGTCGTTTCTCTAAATTAATTTATTGATATCTAGTATATATAAACGAGATTTTTTTATATAATTGATTTTTATTAGGAGAGAACAAGAACGTAAATATATTAAAAAATAAAATAAAATAAATTACACACCCAAACGTTTTTACTGCCTTTTTTTCACTAATTTTATATAATTCTGTTTTAATTTCTATATAATTTATAGAAAAAGTTATTATTTTTTTGTCGTAAATATCGTTGTGGGAAAAAGTTTTTCCAACCATGTCCATTCTCAATTTCCGTGAAGGCTTCGATGATAGATAACAGACAGGGGTGTGAGTAGCAACTCTGTGGAAACAGAGAAAGAACCGAAACAAACGCGCAAGGGTGATTGGACGCACTTTTGGCGTGACATTTTCAATTTTCTGAGAGTTGAAACGAGGAAACAACTCAACAACAATGGCTGCTTCTGTTGCCAATTGCGGCTTATTCGCCATCAGGAACAGGTTATGCGGTTAGGAGAGGATGTTCAGATTTATCTCATTCAATCAGGCCTTCATGCCAACCCTCTTGCTGTTCTCCGACAAAGGTTTCTTCTTTTCCTCAATAATCACTGCAATATAACACAGGATGCCATTGTAATTTACTTGTAATGTAAGAACCTAGAGTGTTGTAGGTATTTTATAAAGAGCAATTGATGTGAAACAGTATTTGATGGTTATAGTTCAGTTATTTAATAGGATGATGAGATCTTGGGAAGTTAAGAGTTTCATGCAGAGGTAGAGATAGCAATCTCACACAACTCAATTTGAATTAATGTGTCGTGTTGTTTTTAATGTGGATTTTATACTGCGTTTACTTTTTCATTTCTGGGAGTTATTAATTGTGCACTTCCATATAATTTACTTCATATTTCTATTTTTTATGAAATGTGTCCGCAGAAATAGTTTCAGATTATATTGCTCTGAATACTAGGGTCATTAGTTATTGTACAATTACTAGGTTCATTCCTGTTTCCTTTATTTTCTGTTTATCATTGGTTATTGTACATATTTGTTGGCATCTTGGTAGTATAAATAAGATAACAGTCAGCATTTTTTTTTTACCGAACCATTAGCCTAAATTTGGATCATTCTAATAATCTTTCTATATTAACAGTGAGTGACTTATTGTTGCACCCCATAATATCCAAGTCCCTGTCATAGCTACAAACTGAAAAATTCTCTAACTATAATTTCAGGCATCTGCCTTATCTTTTCCTAACAGCTTCATACTTCCAAATTCTTAACTGACTTAAATCATAAAAATAAGAATTTCTACTTGAATCAGTAGCCTGTAAGTGTAAAATTTGGTAAATATTTGTGTTTATATTGTTGTTTTCTAAGTGCCCCATAATATCCAAGTTCTTATTATAAATATAAACTGAAAAGTTCTCTAACTTTAATTTCTGGCAACTGCGTTATCTTTTCCTAACGGCATAGGCTTCAGACTTTCAGGTTCCTAGCTGACATAAATCATAGAAATAAGAATTTATACTTGAATCAGTAACTTCTAAGCGAAATTTTTGTAGATATATGTATTTGTATTGCCATTTTCTCTCCCTACCCACTTATTAAACTATTTATTTATTGTGTTTGTCATGCATTGATACCAATCAAGCCAAAGTAGCACACTGGAGCAGTACTCAAGCCTCATACCCTTATTAGAAAAATTGGTACGTTATGTATCAGTATCTGGAACATGCCTACCGGGGAAGGTTCAATGTGTACTTGTACCCAATACATGTATGACTCACATTGGTACGTTATGATATGCATGTGATTGCATCTAGTTTAGCCGTCTATCATGAAGCAGATGCCAGCTTCGGTTGTGAAACTTAACTGTATCTAGTTCTATTTATTGATCCAAGTGAGATTCAACTTACATGATTTTGTATTTTTTAATAAATAAAAATGGTGGGATATTCTAGATATTCTATAGTTCCTAACAAGAACAACCAAGTCTTTTCCCATTAGGAAGGATTGGCTACATGGATCACATAGCAGCATAATAATGCTACTGTGAATCATGTTTATAGACAAACCATTCAGTTCTATATCATTCTATAGTTCCTTACCATGTTGATTTTTAATTCTTGCCCATTTATACCTATGCCAATACAGATTAATATTTAAGCATAGATACTATGATAGACCTATAAGAAGTGTATACTAAAGAGGGATATGGACGTGAGCGAGTGGAAGAAGGAGGAATGGTAATCATGCAAGGCATGGTAGAGAATTAGTATATGGGGGAGGCATTGACAAATTATTAATTGGTTTGGGTTGAGAAGAGAAGTTGGTTCATTCTCAATAGGAGTGTCATTGCCTTTTCACTTATTTTCTATCCATCTTGTAAGGGAGTTCTGCTCCAATCCACAGTTATTTTCCTGATACATACAATAAGAGGATTAATCCCCTGAGTGAACCTACTTTAAAATCGATCAGTTTTCTTTTGCTCTATCACCTTATCTCTGGTTCTTATGATATTACCTCACTTGGATTTGTACTATGCTTCTTGGTTCAACATTCTAGTTTTAGGAATCTCTGTAATTTTACCTTGTTTTTTCTGGCTAATTCTTATGTCATGAAGTTCGTAATATATGAAAGAAAATATTCGTTATGTTCATTGAAAATGCTAATCCCTTAATATTCTTTTCATCATCTCAAACTGATGATTGAAAGCCTGCTTGTGTGTTTACCCCCGGATACCCCACATAACACTGATACCATGACTAATCTTTTTGCCATCAATCAACATAGATATTACAAAGACACACATACATGTGTATTCATGATCGTGCTGAGTGCACTGCTTCAATTTCATATTTATCCACGTGCTAGATTCCTATACAAGTCTGCACATTTTGCCTTTGGAACAGACCTTTGTATTCCTGGTTGGCGTTGAATCATGCTCAATACTATTAGAAGGGTTTTAGTTACAATGATATTGATACTCATTTTCATTTTGAACAATAAAATTCCAGTGTTAAATCATCGCATCTGTAATGGATGTGATAATTTCGGGTTTACGAGTATTGTAATAAGTTTTACACTATCAATGAATAAAAGGTTTAAGTTTCGCCCTACTTAAAATCAGGCCCTTACTGCTGATTTTGAAGTGCCAGAAGGAATTAATATATTCGCAAGCTCGCATACTGTCCGTGTGTTTATGACCGGGAGCAAATGTTAATGTTGAATATTCATTAGAAGAGGTGCTTCCCTGTTTGTTCAGGTGTTATACTGCTGTTTCTTCTTTTTGTTGTTAATTTTTTCCCTACATAACTACATGTGAATTTATGGTGCAGGCTACTGATCCCTATAATGTTATAATGCTAAAGCCAGTTTAGAAATTCTTCCTGCTAATCTACAGTTCTTGAGGGATCTAGTTAAATAGCCCAGGTCATATTCTCTACTATCCAGTCAGGTTCTCTATATCTGTCTTTTAGGAAATGTAGAAGAGGAGAGGAATAGATGGGAGTGTTTAGTATTTGCATTTTTACTCTAATCTCTATATATGGACATTTTTTTGGTTTTAAGAAGCATGGCAGGGGAAAACTATTTTTGATTTCGTTCTTTATTGTTCAAGCAAGCACAAAATTATTTGCACCCAATAAATTCTACCATTTCATTTTTCTCTAGCTACCAATCACGTCATTTTTATTGTGCACGTGGTAATGTACATGGCCTACTTGACATGAATTAGTCGTAATTCTGGATATTTTCCCCTCTTATATTTGATTATGTATAATAGGGATGCTCATCAACAGAGATTTTAGCAAGCTGGTGTCATAACCGTTCGAGAAGAGCAAACAAAATTACATATATGCTTCTAAAGTTAGGGGCCTATATACATGTTGATTAATATACTGGTCTATAACGTTTAGAAAGAACATAATATCCCGGTTCATTGGCATGTTGTATTCAGTGTGATCAGATGGATATTTTTTTTGTTTAATTTTATAGTGCCGTTGTTAAGGTAATAAGAGGAAACTGTTACTTGAATTCAAAATCTGGGCCAATGGGGTAATAAAAAAGGCCCCACAGAATCTTAGGCCGAACGAAATATGTCGGTAAAATCATGCAAAATGAAGGGACAAGACATGTAATCCAATGTTGTAATGCACGCTAGGGCTAGTAAATCCTTTTGTACGTTATGTAGATATACAAGACTGTTCTAAGAATACAGTTTGTGGAAAGCAACAACGTCATTGGAAAGAGGTTAATCCAGGATCTTAGTCTTAAAAGATCTTATGGTTTGAATGGTTGAGTTAGGTAAAGTGGCACTGTTATTCATGTGCCAAAACAGGATTCGTTGTTGGGTTCTAGCTTGACATACGGTTGAATATTATATGCTTAGCAGGCTAATTAATTTTCTGGGCATAGACTCTTCACATGGGGACCCATAAACGATGCGGAGTGTTGTCACAAGTCAAAAACTATATCAACTTTTCGAACCAGTCTTCGTTTTCTCCATCTATTTTTTTTTTCTCTTATTTCTTTTTGTTTTTCAGTGGCAGATATAAACTTTTCGCCGAATATCTGCAGCATTGCCTCAGCTTCTTTTCATAGGTATTACTGTTGTTGTCATTATTATTATTGTTGTTGAGAAAGACGTGACTTAACATAACCCTAAACTTTCATGCAAAGGAAGAGAAACACATTATAAAGTATGCTTTGTCCATATTCATTTCCCTGCGTAATTTTAGAGGCTCGCTTCATGATCGAGACACTGATATTTACATAACACCAGGTTTATGACACATTTTGTGCTAAATCCGAAAATAATTTTAAGTCCTTATCAACCTTAACAATTAATTCAAGCTAGAGAGGATAATTGAACTTGTTTCATCATTTTCATAAAGTCTAAGCTCATTTATATAATCAAATCTAAGAAATTTGTTTTTTTTTTAACTTATTTCATGCCCAAAATTATAATAAAAGGTTTTTTTTTTCAGACACATTCTTTTTTAAGGCATTGTGTCTACAACTACAATAGATACGTTGAAAATTGGTTGTTTAAAAGTTAGTGCCGGTCCAAGTTCGACACCAACTAGTATTATTATTTAAGCCGTGAAGTCTATCCTAGATTCTATGTGGGTGTGGTTTGCTTTGCTTTTATAGCTTGAAGCCAACTCTTGAATCAATAGTTTCTCAGGTATATTATTATCATTATTATTATTATTATTATTATTATTATTATTATTATTATTATTATTATTATTATTATTATTATTGATAACAAAGTTGACAAAGGCTTCGTGGGCCAGTGATGTGTCATACCTTATGAACCAAAAACTTATCTAGAGCTTTTGGTTGGTGAGACTCTTGTATCTTAAAAAATATATATACATAATCGTTAGGGTCAATTCTATCTCTGTCAAAGAACCATCCAAGGTGTAGGTGTGGTTGACCTTATTAGACGGGACCTTGGCCCATTTAGTGATGGTCCAGTCCTTCACTCCATTGGCACGTAATTGACACATCCTTCACAAAAAGTCACCCACCACCCTCCCCTTCTCACCATCAATTTCCACCGTTTTTTTATTTATTTTTAGTGCCGTTTTTCTGATATCATATTACCATTCATTCTGCCCTTGAGTTTGATCTGTCTAGCCTTCATAAATGTTATTGTAGTCTTCAACAACCCACCCCATTATGGCCACCAAAAAAAGACTTTGAATTAGTCGCTTCATGCGATTGAGGTTTGAGACACCAAGATCTAACGACAAAGTTGTGTCGTGCTCTATGTTTTCCTTTCCAAAGGTTTAATCTTGGTAGCAAGTACCACTCATTCTTCCAGTGGGTCATGAAACAAAGAGGTTGATCAAGATTTCAATTTGGAAAAACTATGTAGGTTTTAGATGTTTATGTTCGTATGTATCTAGTTGTTACATTCCAAGTACCAATCTAATTTTTTTATTCATATATCCTGCAGTAGGTATCTTACACAATAAACAAAGTTTCATATCTAAAAAGAGATTTTGAAGGGCATATGCTTCATGATCATGTCACTTTCATTAACTATTACAGGAAATTGTTGAGAAGGCTATCTGATTAGCGTGGCTTATTCTGAAACACTAACTATTCTGCTCAAATAAATGCATTCTAATTAAAGTGAAAAAAAAAAACACACACACACACACACACAGTCCTAATACGTACAAATAATGCTATATGCTAGTGCACACATATCCAAGTTAAGATATTACTCGAGTTATATTTTATCCAAACATTTGAATTAACAGCACCCACATGTTTATAGTGTAGATAACAAAATCCCATCTATATCTAGCAAATAATTGAGACACGAAGTGACACAATATGCTTTTTTAATGTAAAAAGAAAACATTGGAATCTTTCTTAAGTTGTAATCAACAAATATATTATTATTTGGCGTAACTTGTTTAAATACCGATAAACAACACACCGAACATTAACCCATCATACGCAACCACAGTGGAGTATAAAGTAACCTCCCATATACCAGTATTTCTTTATTCGTAATGTTCTCAAGAATCTATAAAATGTGATATTGATTAACAATCTTTACTTCCTACCTCGTGAACAAAAAAAAAAGTTGATATAATTAATAAATGAATAATTTATGATTCTTTACATTGATGCTGATTTTCTTCTACTTGTAATTATCATTCACTAATTGTTACGTAATTAAGGAATAATTTTTAGTAGTGTTTCCAAATTGATGGTGCAAAAATATTGCAATAAAAGATGCCAAAGACAGTTCAAAATGAAAATTCTCTTGAAATAATTTCGCTCAATGGAAGAGAAAAACTCGTGTGAATTTAATACTACACACATTATTTCTTAAGTTCTCTAATGATGAGTAATTGTCTCTGAATTAGTGTATCAGATATGATATTTACTAGAATGAGAACCAAATTTAGGATGCTTTAAACTACTTTAATCTCGCGACATCTCCATTAATTAAACTACTTTAAGTACTTGGCGAGATTTAAGAAAAGTTTTTATACTTTAACTTTTTTTTCCTGTTTTCCATTTTTTTTACTATTTAATTACAACCTATTTTCCATTTTTGAAGATTCGTATAGAAAGAAGAGAAAAAAATAATGTTTCTACTGCAAACATTTAAAAAATACAAAATAAATTAAAAATCTAAGCTTTCAATTTTATAGTTAAAAAAAAATAGTATATAGCTATGTTTAAAATATATTAGAAATGGATAGATCATTACATGTGTATTTTCAATAGAAGCAGACTATTCTCAAAATATTTTAGTTTACACTATATTTTTATTTTAACATTTTTCTTAATTTATTATTATTTTAACTTTATATAATGATTTTCAGTATGTCATTTTAAAACCAATTAGTATTATTATTCTTCCATACCTATATCATAAATTATAATATTTTATTCTATCCCCACGATGGATTTTTAGTATGTGTGTCCTCCATTTTTTTCAATTTGTATTTTGTCTTTCATTTTTTTTTTCACTTTTTCCCTTTGATTTATAAATATTTTAGTTTTATTCTCAAAATGAATATAATTAACACTTAATGACAATATTAATCACAATACTCTCTACATATTTTAAATAATTAAAACAAAATTGTTTTCATAAAAACTGAAAACATAATTTTCAAAGTATATATTTTTCTTAATTTATATTATATATGAATAGTTTATGACACATTAAGAAGACATATTTTTCTTTTAATTATTTTTAACCTGAAACAAACTTTAATTATCTGATAAAAATACTTTCATTCTTAAAATTTATAAATATTAGATTATAATATGTATTTATATTTTTTTATCATTTTCTATATTTATTTTATAGTTCTTATCTCAGTTATTAAATGTCATTGGTTTAGTTTTCAAGTATCGATTTTGTAATGAAACTTAAAAATTAACGAGAGGTATAATTTTATGATTTTTAGAATCATATTAATTCTTATAATTGATTTCTTTATTGCTTAGAAATCATTAAAATAAATTAATAAAACTAAAACTAATGTATTAAAAATTTATTTTAAACACAAATGATAGTGGTTTGTGTTTTTCAATAAATAGTTAAATGTTGTTTAAATTGAACGATGATATAATCTATTGATATTATTAAAATTGACTTTAATATAAATTAAAATATAGATATGTTTATCTAAATTTTTTATAAAATTGATTTTATATCTTATATATATATATATATATATATATATATATTAATTATATTTTAAGTTAATAATGAGATAAAAATAGTGATGATTAATGCCTCTACTTTGTCGTGTGAAACATGAACATTAGTGCAAAAAAAGGTTTTTATGTCGGATATTTTGGGTTTTTTACATCGCATTTAAGATTGACGTTAAAATGAGAGACATGAATTTACGTCGGATCCTTAGTTATCGAGACTCAACGTTAATTTACGTTACATTTACACTAAACGGACAAAAAAAACAAAAATTAAAAAATTTAGAGCAAATTTACGTCACGATGGTATGCAACGTAAAATTTACGTTGCGTATACCAATATGCGAAGTAAATTTGCTCATTTTTAAAAAAAATTGGGTTTATTTTGTCTTACAAGCAAAACCTGCAAATATATATTATAACCAGGACAGATCCAAAGGTTCGGGTTTCTTTAGCTATATAATTAAAAAATATAATATTATATATAATTCAAACTACATAATAAAATAATATAATACAAACAATAACCTACAAACTAAAATCTATTATAAACTAAAAGTTAGTACAAATTAAGCTACCTAAACTACATAATACACACAATATAATATGAACAATAACCTAAAAAATTAAGTACTAGAATTGTTGAACGAAAAACATTGCTCATTATTCTCTAATTTGTGTGATATCATATTTTGGCAATGGAGATGGATCTTGAAATACTTGAAACATTAATTTGACTCTTGTAAACATGCAACACACATAAAGTTAAATAAACTTAACTAATGTTGAAAGCAATTACCTCAGTCCAAGAATCAGTTATACCCGCACAAACAATGGCTCTCATCCAATAAATAACATAGTAACCACATTCAAATGAGTTTGTTTGTTTATTACATCTGAAATGATGAATAAAATATAATGTTATTTTCAAAATTTAAATACAAACAATAATTATGGTATTCACTTATTATAATAAGTTTCTAACATTAGGATAAATGAACTGCAAAGTCTTTGTTCCGGGTTTTCCACTTAGAATATTAGTTACTAGACACGATTCTAAATGAAAAAAAGTCATATATTATTCAATATCTTTTCCATTTTCACTAGCAAATTTCAAAAATTCATCAACTCCTTTTTCGTACTTTTCACTAATACGACGTGCATTCATCCAACTTTGATTCATATTATGTTATAAAGTTTCAGTCACTCCTAGAGATTCAAAATTTATATTTAAAAATAAATTAATATACAAACAACAAAGCACGTAAATGGCGTGTGTAAACCGAAAATGCACTCAAACAAAATAATGTCATTCCAATAACAATTCAGTGGAAACATTCATACAATGACGTGATTGAGATCCTAAAAAATAATCACAGATTCAATTTGAACATATATCAGGAGACATAGAACACTAATCTCGAGTAAACACGAAAACGATTTCAAACTCGAATCCAATCGGGGAGAAATGTCAAATTCATAAAATGAGACACAATGTTGATGTTCTTCACTACCAAAATGATCGAAAATGATGTGAAAAGGTAGTTGTCGTCGTCGTTCTCAAAAACCCTTGCGGCGCAAGATGCGGGAGTGGGTCTGAAAGAGAATAAAAGACACTTTTTATGTCGTACACCCTAGCACGTGACGTAAAAGAGATGGGGAGTGCGCGACGTAAACATGTGACGTAAAAAGTATCACTTTTTATGTCGCGCACACCCCACGTGACGTAAAAAACCATCTTTTATGTCGCGTTGTACCAGATACGATGTAAAAGAGGTTTTTTACATCACCTCCTATAATATGTGACGTAAAAGTTTTACCTTTTATATATAAAATTATCGTCACATTTTATTTGCATAGAATATTTTGACATTGGAGGAAGGAAAATGTCATTTTTACAGTAGTGGAAGTGAAGTTGTGTGAAACTAAATAAGTGAAGATTGTGTTGGGTTTTAACGTTGTATTGTACGCGTTCATGGTTTCGTGGTTTCCAGCATGGGCATGGCTACAAAAACCACACATCCACTCTCTAGTTTTTGCAGAGACGTACACGCAATACGATTTCTCTTTGTCCCTTTCTGCTCTACGCGTTCTTCTTTCTCTCATTTTTTATTTACAAATAAATTATTTAATAACGAGAATAATATAAAAACATATATATGTTGACTTTGACTTCCCAGCATTCCATTCCTCATGCACAGTCCAAAGTATTTTAATAAGAATTGTAATTGAAAGTTTGAAAAGGAACTTAAATTATTGGGCAGTTTGAGGGGTAAGGGTATGAAAGGTAATAGAAAAAACATTAGAAAATGGAAGAAAAAGAAAAAAATATAATATATTTTTTAGGTTACGGGAAAAGAGAAAGATATGAAAAAAAAAAAAAGTAAATAAAATAGAAAATATTCGATTGCAAGAGGCGCCGCAATCATCGCTTGCGTGTTCTTATTTCTAGAAAATCGCGAACCATTCTACCAATCTATACTTCCTCCTTTCACTCCTTTCTTTCACGTCAATTTAATTTATGGTTTAAAAGTTGTTACTTAATATTAAATTTAAATATGACGAAGAATTAAAATTACGTATTATATAAATTTTACTTTTTTATATTAATTTCATAATGCTAACATGTTAAATCCTAAATTTAAAACAAAAAAATAATTAAAACTATATATTTGAAAAAATTAAATAATTAGGTTCATTAAATATAAAAAAAGTGAAAGCAAACTAGATAATATAGACACAAAAAACTGAACCAATTTATAATTACACGTTAAAAAGGAACCTGCAATACTTTTTATGCATAAATTTTTATAGTATAAAAAGTTGATTTAACCGTAAAAACATATTTGACTTTGTGCGAATGCAAGCTGGATGGCTTGATTAAAAAAGAAAACTTTGATAAAACGAAGTGATGCATGAATATCTAAAGATTACTAATAAACTTAGTATCAAATCAACAAATCCAAAAACTTATCCGTTTTTATCAAAATCTTTGTTGTTTATCATTACACTTAGTCTTGTTGAGGGGAGATACATAACCCTAAAAGTTGACTGAAAGAAGTCAATAGTTTGCAATCTTGATCTAAATTGGTTTAGGAATACTAAATCAAATTAAAATCGATGCCCCCACTTAAAATAACATGACGCAGATCGTTTTTGAACACTTTCTGTGCCATTATTTAATTCAGTATTAGGGTTTATGATAAATGCTCTGTTAAGGCAACAACTGGTAGCTAGAGAAGAAAAAAATAAAACAAAATGGAATATTTCTTGGACAGAAACTTCAATAAGGTTGTCTTGTTTCAATCGGATTACATTATTTTATGTTGCAATTGAAGGAACAATACTTTTAAATGAATTAGTTCTCATACTTGATTTATTTTATATATCACTGTTGGTCAAAAAGTTGATGGGTTTGACCATGGAAACAAGCAGGACAAAACTCAAGAGGAGAATAAATGAGCTTTACTGAGAGATAATGTTTTTTTTTTTAAAGAAGAGTTTAAACATATTGTAGATTTTGAGATCATCTAAACCATTATTAAATTAAGTTTTAGAATAAATTTGAGGCGCTTATTTTTTACTGAATATTTAAGGGAATAGAAATACATAAGCGTGAATGATATAATCTAGTATGAAAATCATGGATGGTGACACACATCTAGAACACGGGTTTATGTTATTAAAATCACAAATGGGTTTGGTTAAGATGTTTTGAAAAAGATTCTGGCAAATAAAATATATTCGAATCATAGCTATTAAAAAAATTAACCAGTTTGCTTTCACATTTGCTACACCCTAATATTCAAATACGAATAATGTTAAAGTTACATGAACCTCAGTAGAGGAATCATAGAACCTAAATCATCAAATATTCTCCAATGTTTTTTATAACAAGAAACAATGGTGAGACTGATAAATTGTGTGCAGTTAAATCATATATTGGTCGGTCATAGAATAATTAGGGTGCTGACAGTTGGAAGTTTTAAGATTGAGAGAATGAAGTTTTGTATTATCTTCAATATATTTTTCTTCCCAATTAAAAACACGAGATTTTGTTATTAATCAACTTATTAACCAAATGTGCAAAGAAATCTAAACAAAAAAAAAATTCTACAACCATTTAATTTTTTTTAAATGACAAATAGATTGTGTCATTAAAATAATAAATTTTGTTTAAACAATATTATTATTTTCTCTAATTTTTACTCTTAAATAACTTTTCTTTTATTCTATAATAGATATGTGATATTGGATTTGTGGTTAAAGGAAGGAGAAGAAAATATTGTAAAAGGTTGACTATTGGCATTACGTAGATCCGATTGATTTGAATTAATGTTTTGTTTGGGATTATCCTATACAGCGACATTTTGGGCGGTATATCATGGAAACCAAGGTCAAACACCCCAAACAGAACTTTAAATCCTGTGTCGGTTGTTTCTATGCGATGTACAATCCAAACAAACAACCACATACGCACAACACGATGTACAGAATCATCAAACCACGCGCCGCCCAAAGCCGCGGCGCTGACACCTTCTTAGCCTCCACCAGCTACCAACATGTCAAACCAATACCGTTAACATTAATTCTCAATCCCTTTTATTCATAAAGATTTTAGTGCTTAGTTGAGAACTCCTCATACATTCATAAAGAATTTTAAAACAGCGATGTTAGAAGCATATCTTCAATTTTTTATAAATAAAAATCACATTTTTTTCGATTTAGTTTAGATAAATTTTGCGATTTGTTTATTATGAATTTAATAATTATATTTTAAGAAAATATTTATTTAATAAAGAATATATTATAAAAATATAACATATAATTAATTATATAGTATTCATAATTTTTTATTTACTTCCACATTTAATTTAAAATAATAATAAGTATCTTAGATTATTAAAAACTAATTGATCTATTAAAAAAATATCATCTTATATTTTAATTTGAATAATATATATCATACTTTTGTTTTTATTTAGTTTAATTTATATTAGTTCATAACTAGTAAATCGAGAATAGAATAAATTAATTTTAAAAAAACTTCAATCTAAAAAATAAGTAATTTTGATTAATTTTATTTTATAGTTAAATTAGTTCAATTGTAAATACATTTCATAATACATCTTCAATTTTAATATAATAAATGTTTGTGTCTTGAATACTTTTTTCTTACTTTAAATTTTAATAATAATAACTTAAAAAAACCCTTAAATGATAGGGTTATTTCTTGGCAGTGGGTAAATTTATAAGAAGCACAATTTAATAAGAATGCATTTATGGGTGGTTTAAATTAAAGCATTAAATTAATTGAAACTATAAATGAAATTTTCAATAAAAGGAAGCCTCTTAAATGTGTCTATTACCACGTCATTTTCTCTATGCCACCTCTTTAATGTTATTGTCAGCAACTACTCATTAAGCGTATGTGTTATTTTATTTGAAAATTAGTTAAGGGTAGTTTAAAAAGTGCACTAGTATTATTTAAAATCAAGTCTATGTAATATATTGAACAAAAATAACTAGTATTATTTTTAGAGAAGATGGAAGAACATTGCTTAGGGTTAGAAGTGGTGGAAGAAAAAAAAAAAAGCTAATTACGTAGTGGATGATAAATACACGCTTTCTTATCTTATATTATCCCAACAAAACAAATCACAACACTACTTTTGTGAACATGGCAAGATTAAAAAAGTGTTAGTTTATGGACATAAAAGAGATTGAAAACTTTAATAAGACATAGAATTAGGGAAAAGAAAAAAGAGAAAAATGAAGAAAAATACAAAGACGCAAAGTTAAAAATTTCAAGAGTATTGCAATGGGAAAGAAGATGTAGACTTACACTATGAGAATAGCATGTGAAGAGTGTGTTCGAAGCAATCATGGAATATACCAAAACCGCGTAAAGTGCATTTCCTTTCAATCTCTGTTTCACTCATTTTCACCCTTAGATCAAACACGTCTGAACTAAGACGCACAATCTCATTCTGCCACGTGTATTCCTACTGCCAGTGGGCTCCACTACCTTCATCTAAGACCCCACACATGATTTTTATTTTATTTTTTTAGTTTTTACGGTTTTTTAAAATTACTTTACCCATTTATAAATTAATAATCAAAATAATATACTTTTTATTTATAACTTATTAAAGGCAAGGAACATAAAACTTATCGCATGCACTTTTTCAAATAATGACAATTCACTTTAGGTTTGATTATATGTGAATGTAATAAATTACAAGCTTACTACAACTATTTATAATTTAGGTTTCATTATGTTTTTGTTCCTATAATTCTGATTTTAGTTCTTTAAAAGAATTTCGTATTATCTTAAAATTTATAAAAATATATTTTATTTTTATTTTTAAATAATTTTGTTAAGATTTAACTCTTTGAATTTTAAAAAATAAAATTTTAAAACTATAAGCTTTTTAAATTTAGTATTTATAAATTAAATTTGTATTTATTTTTATAAAACTAAAATACTTTCTAAAATTTAAGAAATCAAAAGCGAAATTACCCTACTTATACATAATTAAATATGTGTGATTTCATTTATAATATTGAATACAATTAAATAAAAATTTATTCTTGACCTAACTGTGAGGCGCAATAACTTTTTGAAGAACATTAATGGCTATCAACATGATTCCGTTTGGGTTCTTTTCTTGCCCCAAAAATAAAATAAAAACAAATATTTCAAAATTGTAAGGTGAAAAATAAAATACTATCAGAAATATTGTGTGTTTCAAAAACTTTTATTTTTAGTATATTTAATTTTCTATTTAGGGTGTAATTGAATGAAGAAAAATAATTAAACAAAAATTGATTAAATTTAGAAAATCAAATAAATTTGACATTAATCTATTTTTTTTTAACTTATGTAAATAGAGATAGTTTTTATGAGGAATGGGTGACGTGAAAATGATGTCATGAAAAGCACGTGGCGAAGCTTCTATGAGACGACGACGGTCTTAACATGTCGCAACTCAGAACGTTGTTACTTGTTAACTTGTTTTTCCCATATAATAGCTTTTAAATTTTCATTCCTTTTTTAGAACTTTGGAATTAAAGTAACTCTTTCTTGGAGATTTTTTTCCTATTTGCTGGATTTCACCTTCTAACGTAAGCGTTGTCTGCACGAAGACTCTTTTAACCAGAATGCCTTTATATTTAATCATTTTTTTTCTGACATTTAAAATATTCTTTCTTTGACTCGGTCCAAAGATTGATTCAAATTTAATTTAATTTATAGTACTCCACTACAGATCTTGCTGCTTCTTCTATTCTTTCTTATAGAATAAAGCCGGAGTAAGAAAGGGTCTCTGTTCTACCTTTAATATGCATCTCGAAGCATTTTTTTCACTTTCAAAGATTATTATGTCTTAAATTTTACTTTTTAAATTGGGATTTTAAAGTAAGCATGTTTTAGAACAAAAAAGTGCTTTTAAAACAATAAAATGGAACCTAATTAAATAGAATAAAAGGTGAAAAATGTAATTTGAAGTATATTATTGATTTGAATGTTGAGTTGTGAATAATGAATTCTATCTTTCCCTACTATTGACTTCTATCATGTCGTATTGTATGTCTTACAAATTGGGTAGTGTATTTGAGTGGGATGTTGAAAATATTATCTACTGAAAATTAATACCTAAAACATATATGATAATGTTTAGCGCCCAATTTTTCGGAGATGAGAATCATTATCCTCCTACAAAAATTATATACACATATACTTATAATTTTAATGTTTTAAATTTTATTATTATTAAATATATTTATGTATATATTTATAAAATTAATTATTTATTAATAATATATTATTTAACATGAAAAATTAATGTCGTTATTATTATTATTATTACTATTATTATTATTATATTTCTAAATATTTATAACTGCTAAAATTTTATCTAATTCTCAATATTTGACCTATATTTTTATCTCATATATCACAATAATAAAGAATGATAAGTAGTTATATAATAATAATAATAATAATAATAATAATAATAATAATAATAATAATAATAATAATAATAATAATAATAATAATTATTATTATTATTATAATAATATATTATTATTATCATATTTTTCCAATTAATTATAATTAATTGTCAATAAATTATTTTTCTTTAAATAATTAGTTTTACTAGTTTTAAATTTACAATTTAAAAATTAATTTCACCCAGATGAAACTCATGATAGTATATATTTTTTATTGTTATATACAAAGTTTAATGATTTTGTCATTTAGTTTATATAAGTCAATTATAACAAAAATAATGTTATTCACTTTTAATAATAGATTTGTTGTTGGTATTTTAAGAACAGGTTTCATATAAATGTAAAAATATAATATTTTTTATTTAAATAAATCATTATCTTCATGTAATATTTTCTTTAAGTTTTTATTAGAAAACTTATCTTCTATCATAAACTTATTTTTTACATTTTTTATCATAACATATTAATTAAAAGATGATGAAAAGTAGAGTATTTTTGTTTTATTAAAATTTTGATTTGAGATTTTATTTTCTTTCTAATTTGCATGCGGATATGTGGGGTCCGCAAGTGGTCCTGGTCATGAAAGGATTTAGTCTAAATATGCGTATTTGTGCATCAAATTTTGTGGAAGTATATTGATAAATTTTCTGGGGTTTTGGCTTTATTAAAGGGATAACTATATGTGAATTATTGAATTTTTTATGCTTATTTTTTAGTACAAAAGTTATATAAAATACTTATAAATATTTTGAGTAGAGAGAATGGGCTATATCTTATCAATTTTGTTTTTTTATTTGATGACTGATGACAAAATTATTTAACTAGAAAATATACAGAAAACAATTATAAGTGTATTTGAGTTATATAATGGTATAAATACAAAATACGTGAATTAAAAATTATAAAATTTAAAAAAACTATTAATTTTTTAAAATAATAATATCTAAATTATAAAATATTCATTAAACAAATACGTAAGATAACTTGTTTTTTCGACCGACACAAAAGTTAATCGCTTTAACCATAATAATTTACAAAACACTATAGATGAACCTAACTTTGATAATAGAGAGAAATTTAAAACGGAAACAAAGGAATGCTATAATTACAAATATCTAGATGACGTGTAAAAAGTTTTTAAATTGTGTTTTATTTTTTGGATTTAAGAATATATATAAATTATCCTTTATTTAAATTTTTAAACTATATGAAACTCTAATCCTAACAAAACAATTTTGAAAATCCTTCAATCTTCAATCCTCTTTTATTATGTTAATTAACAATTGTCACCAAACAGGTATATTTATAATTTTTTAAAAATTGTAATTATTTTTACTAAGCACTGTAAATACTTAATTAATCTTAACTATATTTTATACAAATTTAGATTGACCATCGTGATAAATTATATTTTTAAGAGATTATTTAAGACAATAAAAATTAGTTTTTGAGTCTCAATTTTTAACCAATCTCACTACATAGTATTAAGTAAAAACTTCATTTTCTTAAATTTAAATTAGTGCCTCTGATCCCATATGTTAAATAATTTTTTGGAGTAATAAATTGCTTTAACTTTGTTTTTTTCAATAAACATTATTCTTTTTATATTTTAACTTAAAAATAAATTTATTCAAGTAAATTAAATGTACCTTTGGGTGACCATGCCTTAATAATAACATCACAATCCTCTTTCTATTATCACATTTAAAGCAACATTTTTATCCCTTCTAATTTGGCATGCCACTTTTGGTTCCCAACACAAAATAAACCATGGGAAATATATTATAAATGAAAATGTGTTCAGGATTTATTTTTTGGAGGGTCCAACATTATATTTGTAAACAAAGAATATAATATAAACAGAATTTATAATCCAAATCTTGTTATCAAATTACATTTCAAAAGCATTCTAGCTGTATTAATCACCATTATTTATATTGACACTTGTTAACATTGATAAAAAATTCAATTATGAAAAATACAAGTAAATTTTATTTATTATGAAAATATAAAAAAAATCGAATAAGATTCTTTCATTTGAAAATATTAGTTATTCTTTACTTTAAAAAAAATCTAATATATCCTTACATTAATACTTAATGAATAAAAAATAATTCAGAAATTATTTTCATAATTAAAATCTTGATATAAAAATGTTTTAAAAATTATAAAAATTAGTTTCACAAATTTAACTTTTAAATATTGTTTTAAACATATATATTTGTTCCAAAATATTTTTTTTACGGATGAATAGAATATTAATCCATTAAAAGGCAATGGATAATTTTGATTAATTTTTAATTAGTAAATGATGGAAAAAAAAGTGACGATCATCAACAATTTTAAAAAATTATCCTAATAAAAAAAGTAAGAAAAAAACAATCAACCAAACAAATTGAAAAATAAATTTCTATCATTATTTAATGATAACTAGATAATAACATAAATAATAATAATATTAAGTGAAAATTTATATAATACATCAACAATTTTCTCATATTATTTAATCTTAAATACACTTACACTATCGAAAACAAATATTTCAACTAAACATCTCAATTACAAGAATATAACAAAAAGTCAAATTCATACATAAAATAATGTTTTATGAGTGTCAAAACATCGTAACTTAAAATTTATTATATAATTACTATTATTGACTTGATTATACGTGATATGATAAATTACTATTATGAAACTTGTTAAGATGTATTATTTTTATCAAGTCAATAATAAATTATTTATCAATGAATAAAAATAATTAATGAATTATTTTGTTTTTCACTCATCATAAATATGTACACTTAAATTTTGATGTTAAAGTAGAAACAGTTTTTATTAAATGATTAAATAATTATAACTATTCCTTGTAGAACAAGTATTAGATTCATCAATGCAAGTGTGATAAAAATAGTTTGAGAGAGCTATCAATACAAAATTACTACATTTATTTATCTCCTGACATAAGTTTTCTTAAACCCATTGGCTGATGAATTTCCGACAGAGTAGATTAAACATTACAGTATTTTTTTATTATTATTATTATTATTATTATTATTATTATTATTATTATTATTATTTTAGTAATAAATAAATTGTTTTGAGGCAATTAGTGGTACGTGTTTGAAGCGGTGGCACGCAATGGCATCAGAATTATATTTGACTTTGAGACAAAGAAGCAATATTTTATGGTTTATTGTGACAAGGCTAATTTTAAGCTGTTTGACAACGAGGATATAACAATTTTCTTTACATTTTGACAATATTTTATGACTTTGATAATGGGAATGATGTACTAAAAATATTATTCTTAGTAAATTTTAGTTCTTGATGCTAATGAATATGAAACACAGTAAATAATAATAAAAAAAAGTGTTAATGATAATTGATTTTGAAAAACATGAAGATAAGATTAATTGAAGGGGGTGATGAGATGTTAAATGGAAAATGAGAAAAGGAGATGGAAGAGGACAACACCATCACATGGTAACCATCAGACCCTAAACACCTTTTACTTACACCCCACGTGTACACTCCCCCATTCACACTAATACCGGTTGCCAGTCAAATATACGCGTCTAGTGGGACCCACCACTGGTCCTCTTTTGCAGTAAATGCCATCTCCATCCACCTTGACAACCAAAACCGACACGTGTCGGTTACCCCTAGGTGGGAAACCTCCCCGAGCCAACCTGTTTTCCAAATTCCCAACCCCAACCCAACCAAATCAAAACTCCATTCACACACCCAATTTTATTTATTATTTAGACAAAACCTCCAATGGCCACAAACTAAAATTGAAAATTGAACATTTTTTTTTATAATACTTCAAATTATTTAAAAAGTTTCACTCTTTTAAACGTTATACAATTTATATAGACAAATCAAATGGTAAAATAAAACTCCTGGTCAAAGGCTTATATAATACATGGTCTATAACTGTAACTATTCGTTTTAGCTTTAAAAATACTAGTTTTTTTAATTAATTAATGAAGTTCTATTAAATGTGGTAAAGAAAAAATGAATATAACGTTAGACACCACTATGTGAGAGCATTGAATAGTTTTAATATAATAAGACTAAAAAGCAAAAAATAATAAATAGGGAACATTTTTTATTGAGTTTTTGAGAAATATTTTTGAGCAAAAGAGAGAGAGAAAGGGGGGAAAAAATGAGGAATATGTGCAAAGGTTTTTGTTGATATATAGCACCAACAATTGATTAAAAGCAATGGAGGAGAAGAGAGAGAAAGAGGCGAACTCAAAGTCATCATCCACCATGGCAAATTCTGTGGCATTTTCCGACGAGATTCCCAGCATGAACATGTCCATGAGCACCACCATGTCCTTCCCTTTTTCCCCTGCTTACTCCACCATCTTTGACATCATGCCACCACTTCCACCACCACCATCTTCATCCTCCTCTCACGATCCAAAAGCTCCAAACTTTCCCTTCTTGGACTTGCTGGGTGTCCCTGATTATACCCCTTCCTTATTCGACTGGCCCCAAATAACCGCCGACACTTCACCACTACCGCTACCACCCCCCGCCCAAATCACCCACGCGCTTCCGTCTCCGGCCAGCTCCAATGTCCCCGACGGAGGCTCCGAGGTCCTCAACACTCCGCCGTCTCCCAACTACTCGTCGATTTCCTCCTCGTCGAATGAGGCCGCCCTCGCCGCCGCCGCCGCCAACAAAGCAACGGGAAATGAAGATGAAGCGGAGGAGGATGAAACGACAACAGATGCAGCAGCAGGCAAAGGAGAAGACCAAGATCAAGACAAGTCTAAGAATCAGTGAGTAATGATGATGATGATGGAAAAAAAAAATGACTTAATTGATTTTCTTAATTTTAATTTATTTTCATAAGAAAAATAATAATGACTTAATTAATTCTCTATGTCATTGAATGTGCTGGCCTGAAATAATAATAATAATAACAATAAATAGAAAAATTAAACGTAGGATAAAGTCGGTTACAGTTGCAAAAACAGACAGGGGATGCTGAGTGGTGACAACTGATGGAGTTTGTGTGTGTGTATGTATGCATGTTCATTGAACTTAAAATGGGTTTTCGTTATACTGTCATTTCTTTCCGATCTCATCTTCTTCTGCTTTTGATTTCTTGTGTTTGTTTGTATTATATAAATAAACCCCAGAAAAGAAAAAGAAAAAGAAAAAACATGTTCATTATTTGTTTTGCTAAATTTCCATGCTTAGGCTGAAGCCAAAAAAGAAGCACCAAAAGAAGCAAAGAGAGCCAAGATTTGCGTTCATGACAAAGAGTGAAGTGGATCACCTCGACGATGGCTATAGGTGGCGCAAGTACGGTCAGAAAGCCGTCAAAAACAGCCCTCATCCCAGGTACCCCAACAAATGAATAATTAATTAATTAATATTATACATGTACATTTCATTTATCAAATCTTGATTTAATTAACTTTGATTTGTTCTTCTTCTCTACACTTATTTTGTTCTCTCATTTATTATATATGTGGTGCCTTGGATTGGGGCTTTATAATTAAAATATTTCTTGCGGTGCACGCAAAAATAACAACAGGAGTTACTATCGTTGCACCACCGCGGCATGCGGCGTGAAGAAGCGCGTGGAGCGTTCCTCGGAGGACCCTACAGTGGTGGTGACAACCTACGAGGGGCAACACACGCACCCTTGTCCTGCCACCTCACGGGCTAGTCTCGGGTTCTTGCACTCCGAACCAAGTGGGTTCGGACCCACCAGTGGACTCTATATGCTGCCACAACAACACCAACAGTTTTGTCATGACCAAGCAGCAATGTTATACAACTCCTCTACCACCACCTCATCATCATCATCACCATCACCTCTGAATGTTGTTAACTCAGCTTCTTGTGGAATCAACTACGCCAATACGTCGTCGTTGGGTGGCTTCCTTCATAGCCAAGAGAATCAGCATGTTTTTACGGTGGGAGGTCCTCAGGGTTTGTTCAATGGGCTTCTTCAGGACATTGTGCCAACGCAGATGATGAACGAAGAGAGGGGAGATCGTGTGTAGGTGATGATCATGGTCACAATATAGTCATATTTCATCATAGAACTTTTGACATTAATTAGTTTATTTTGATTATTTGCTTGTATATTAATTACATTATATAAAATATCTTGGTACTATGGTATATTATATATGTAAGGTTGGTTATTTAGCTAACTGAACATATGATGAGAAGTGTAAATCTCTATAAGCCTCTCTGAGTGTTTTGTGTTTAAGAGGTTGCCATATACAAACCTCACTTCAACTGGCTTGTGTTCATACCAAACATTTTGGAGGTTCTCACTTTATGGTTAGTTATATATATATATATATATATATATATATATATATATATATATATATGGAGGGGCTAAGATATATTCTCATTTTGCGATTCAACTTTTTCTTCTTTCCTTCTATATATTATATATATGCATGGTTTATTCTGTGTAACTAGATATTTATTCGATTATGAGGTGGTTTTAATTGTTATCTCTTTTTCCTATTTATTTTATTTTTGTTCCCCGAGTTTCTCATGCTATCCGTATTTGTTAGCTTCTATTATCCTCTGGTCCGAAGGAATTTTTCAAGGTGGAAAACCCAGGGTTTTTAGGGTTAGGGTTTTTCCTTAATTTGTACAAGTACACGCATGTGGTGAAATGCTTTAGCAAGCTGCACCTTTTCCCACTCAGATATACTTATGGCAGAGACTTTATGTGGGAAAGGGAAAGTCAAGAAAATGTAAGATTATAAGCAATGGAGCAGGGAACTCTAGCTATGATGAGGGAAATTTAAGAAAGAAAGATGAAAACTATGTATGAGAGAGTGTTATGATTGCCCCATGACTTGACACAATGCATGAGGATGTGGTATGGAAAAAGTTGCAACATTATTACTTGAGTAGTACCCTTTATCTTTTTGTGTATGATGGGTTTTCTCATCATCTTCCCCTATAAGCTATATACAAAGATGGGCTTCAGCCATTCAATGATGATGTGTGTTTCCTGGGAGGGAAATGGCTAGAGCATGGATTGTTTCTTGCTGATAGCAAAAGATGAATGATGTGATATATTGGTGTGGAGAAAAGCATTATATATAAGGCTCTCTCATGTAGCACAGTTTACAAATTTTGTAACAGTAGCAGAAGCCATTGGCCATGCCACTTACCCTATCCCTGCTTAGAAATTTTTCAGTGCACATGAAATGCCCCCTCTACATTCATTCTCACTCAGTTATTACCAGAACTATGAATATTGTATATACCAATGAATCTTCCACCTAGCATTAGATGATGGCAATGTTGAATTCAACCTCTAGCTTAACTGCTTTCTCTCTCTCTCTCTCTCTCTCTATATATATATATATAGAGAGAGAGAATTTAAGTTGAATGTAGAGATACAAGAGAAAAATAACTTAAGGGTCATGCGAGTAGATTAATTAATTATTTGATGTTCAACCTGTTGTTGTAAAAAATTAAATTGAAGAGTTTCTCCTATTTTATCTTTGACAAAATTTATATAATTTTGGTAATAAAATATTGTTTTATATGTGATTCTGATATATATGTCATAGCTTTAATATGAGGAATTAACATAGAATTAATTATCTTCATTGTGAAATAAATATGTAGAAGCATATAATTTTCTGTACTGTTTCAAATTCAAATTCAAATTCGTTAAGAGATTATGGAGAGTTAAATTCCAACGATATTATATTCAAAATAGAGAAGCTTCAATGTTTGAAAAAAAAAAAACACATACTTTGCATTGATAGAAATTTCCCCAAAAAGAAAGAAAGACAAGAATATTTTTATGGTGGCTGGGGATAGCAATGTGCTAATTGTTTGTAACCGTCCAGGAATATGGTGAAGGAAAAAGAATGATCATACAAAGAGATTCTTTACAAACAAGCATGAACTGGAGTATCAAGATTTGAGTAAAAACAAATACTCCACTTTTCTCCACCATGTATGGTCAATATGTAAGAATTTAATTGGTGAGAAGCCATGATTGACTAAGTTCATGCATGGTAGTTTAGTTTGTTAAAAGTTTGGAAATTTTGATCCTAGGATTGTTAGTATAAAGGACCCTCTCCCTCTGTTTCTTTCATTCATACTCAAATTTGAGGGGTTTTAGTCAAATATATCTAGCATGACGTATATGCACAGTATCAGGTGAAAATGAAATTAAGGTTTAGTGAAAAAATGTGAATATTTTGAATTACAGATTCTATTGTACTATTCCAGGTTAAATTTTAAGGTTTATAGTTTCTAGTTTCTACAAGCATATCATATTTGCATTATGTTTATGCATATTAATTCTTGACTGTAACACAATTGCAAGTGGTAGTGTGGACAGAAGCAGATAAGGAAGAAGGAAATAAAAAGAAAAAACTTCAAAAAAAAAAAAATGAATACAGAAATTCCATGGGAAGAAGCTCTACTCATTTTTCCACCATTTCGTTGGTGAATGAATATTCTCTGGTTGAAGCAATGAGAAAAATCTTTTGTGATATAAATTAAGGTCCATTTGGAGCGTGACTTTTTTGGTATTCCCAAACTTTCCAGCCATCAAACTTTATGTTATGGAATTGGAAAAGGCAACAGAAAAGTCGTATCTGCTTGTAATCCAACTGTTGCAGTGGCAATGAATTTGATGCTTCATGGAAATCGAATCAAGGAAGTGAAAAGAGGTGTAGTCATTTGCATCCAACCCATATGATTCGTTTCAGGCATCTCATTTGAATCCAAACTCACTGTTCAGTATAGCCACTCAATTACCACTACATCCTACATTTTCCACGAAAACACATACATTTTCCATTAAAACTGTAAATTCATGGGATTGGAGGTTCAAGAACACCCTTTTGGAGGTTGGATTCCAACTCTCATCGCTTAATAATCTTATCATGATCTTCACTTTAGACTCTTAAGAAGATAATCCTAACTATAGTTCTCTCAGAATAGAGGAATTAGAGTGTTGAGACATCTTAGTCCAAAAATATTGATATCACCAACAAACCCTAATAAGCAAAAATGTAAACTAGAAGAACATCTCACTATTTTGAAGAAAGAGACTTAAGTACTCTGACATAAGTCATCTCTAATAAGAATTATGCGAAAATAAAACTAATTAATATATTTTTTATTTTACATTTTAAATAAATTCATCTATATATTTTGTTAGACTTGTCTTCCATTAAATGGCAAACCCATTAAGATAAGATTAAGAAAAAAGGTTCAAAATTGGTGGGAAATTCGAGTGATTTATTCATCCTTTAGCAATTTCTTTATTCCTTACTTGTTTTGCAAGTTTGGGAATATGTGGGACAAAAGAAGTGTGTTAAAAATGTGGCAACCAAGGATAACTTGTTAATGGAAAACTCTTGTACTTTTCATGCTTCATTGTCACTTTATCTAATTATGATTCTAAAAGAAAGAAAGGAAAAAAAAAAAAACAATCAGTTCCTAGCTGGAGATTGTAGAAAGGTGGATGATTCTGAATCATTAGAATATTTTGGTGCCAACCTCCCATTGGTAGTTTGAATTATTTTTTAGTCTTCAAACTCTTTGTTAAGAACTGCAGAATAGAGTTAGATAAACTGTTTTGGTTATTTATAGGATGTGCTTGTCATGGATGATAGCTTATTGATTTTACACGTAGTTGAGCAGTTAACATAAATTCATTTTTAGATTGCTTTTTTTTTTTGTAATTTAAATTAATATTAATTGACATTAGAGAAAGTGATATATATATATATATATATATAAAGAATTGAGATAGATAGAAGAGATTTTTTTTAACGTTTGAAATAGAAATTATAAAAATGAGATTTTTGTTTCACCAATGATGTGATGTAAGCTTTTGCAGCTCATTCTTCCATCTTCGACACATGGAAGAATATAAAGAGAAAAATTAGATAAAATAAAGAAAATGAGTGAAGACTTCTTCATTATAAAATAGAAAGTCTCTTTATATTTACCTAGATACTTCAACTTATGCGTGCTTGAATATTTTCGACATGTTGTAAATACTTTAAACATTGTTAATTTGATTACATATGTTGAATCGTAATTTTGTATATAACTTTTTATTTTTTGTTAATTGGGATTTAATTGATGAACTCAATTTTTGTTGTTATGGAATCGAATATGTGAGGAAAGAAAAAGGATCTATTTACTTAATAGCATGGAGAGTAGAGCTATTATTTATTTTCTTTATATATTTTCTTGTAATTTAATAACAAAAATAATTTATTATATTAGACTATTAAATTTTATGAACAATAAAAATAAAAAGTAAACCTTTTATACTTGTTTTTTTATTAAGTATGATTTGTTTGTTTACTTAATTTTAAAAATAATTTTTAATTTTGTAGTTTTTAAAAGCTAAAAATCTTATTTGAAGGTAGTTTTGTTAGAACAGTTTTTAAACTTTATTTTTATTTTTAAAAACTAAAAATAAAAATTGATAAAAAAATATCTGATGTATTATCTGTTATTTTATTAATAGTTATCACTTATCAAAATTATTTTTCAACTTTTTTTTAAGTTTTTATGATATATATGTCATTATCATTAGTTAAAAGTAATTTTTAAAAATGGGATTATGAAAGAAAGAAAAATTTTCAGGAGCAATTTTTTAAAATTGACATATAAAACTGTTTTTAAAAACTAAATCAAACAAGCATTTACATTTTTCCTCTCTATATACATAGATAGAGAAGACATTCACTCTCCATCTTCACCATTCTTTGTTTATAATCTAATAATTAAGATAAGTTATTAATTTAAATAATTAGATTATAATAAAATTAACGACAAATATATTTTTAATTCTTAATCTTAAAGCAATTAAACTTTTTCTTTTATATATATATAAAGCAACTGAATTGAAATATTACGACACAAGAATTAATAGAATTTAAGATAGGTTAAGTAGATAATTAATTATTATATATTAATTGAGATAATTTATTAAACTGATATTTTAAAAGCCGACTAGTTAAAGTAAATAATTTACTTATGTTACCATGCAGCTGTCAAATTTATTTATTTTATTTTGTACCAAATTTTTTAGATTTTATACTAATTTAAAATATTTTTTAAAAGGTATGTCTAATATGTTATAGTTTATACATGCATATATAAAATATAAGGACTATTAAGGCCGAATGTGAACTTATTTATTGGACTCTCATATGTGATAGTTTATATTATATATGTAGACATGAAATATGAGACTATTAAGACCGATATCTTTTATTTACTTAAGTTTAAATGTTATGATGAATATGTAAAATATAATGAGTCAAAACAGTACACTATTCGGGGTTGGGATGCTTGACTGTGTTACCGTGTGGAGTTAAATAGTATGATAACTTGAATTGACCTTCAAAACATTTTGAGCATGTTGCAGAAGACTTACATTAAACAAATTAAAAAGATCGTTTGTTCTGATGCTATTTCCCAACAAGCATGATTGTAATAAGATTTCTCTCTAAAATTAATGGTCGAGTTAAAATCTATATTTAAGTAAATATTATGGTACAGTAGATGAGGGTAGGGAATTTGGGTGCCATGTATTTAGAATCCCACATCGTCGGTAAGTGATGGTGAAACCTCAACACTGAGGGCCAAAATAAATTGTTACATGTCACATGGGATCAAAATGAAGGCGGTGGCCTCTACCTTGAAGCATTAGATAACACATTATGTTCCACAGCCATTTTAAAAGCTGCAATATCTTAAATGTGCCGCCTCAAGCTCAACCCATCAAGGTTCAAACTCCTGAACGTGAAAAAACACACCAATGTTACGTTTCAAATTATTGTAAAAATAATAATCCAAACATAGCCTAATCTGACAGTCCATGTCTTCAATATCCACAGCACATGCAACTCACTAGTCCACCTCCAATTACCCCAATCATATTTAAGTAACTACAAAGTTGTGACATTATCTAAATTCAAAGTAACATTACTCTTCATATGCATTGCCTAATGTTTTAATGAAAATATCCATTATTAGTCGTATGCATAGTTTTTCATGTACTGTGTCTGTGTGTGTGAGCATCAAGGGAGGGGATAAATAAGTGAGCTGAAAAGGATGGGAACCTGAAGGCTTATTTTTCCACATCAATTCTTGTGCTGAAGGAACACCCTGAAATGGCATCAAGAATTATGATTACACGTAAGGGTTCATAATAAAATGGATGAAAAGTATGTTAAACCCTAATCCTACTGCTTATAACCAACTTCCTGAAAAGCCAAAAAAATTTCAATCATACACAACAAAAATATGACACTTAAATATTAATACAATGAGAAATAGGGGCTCATGTATAGATGAAGAGGCGCATCATGCAAAGCTTTTACCATCACCAAACCAAATTTTAACAAGAAGGGTGTTTACCTGAACATTTTGAGGGCCAGCGCCATATGCCTGGAACTAGAATAGAATAGGTCAAAAGAAGACAGTACCACAAAATCACCTTTCAATGTACGTCAATGTCAGATACACTTACCGAAGAGGACAAAGGAGGCTGTTGTACTTGTTGCTGGTGGAGAACTTGTCCTTGGAGATGACTTTGAGGCTGAACCTGTTGGAACTGTGGAATTTGCTGGGGCGGTAGTACTGACGGCTGTGACTGAGTTTGAGACTGCTGAACAGATGCCCTTTGCTGTTGCTGTTCATACAACGTCAACTCCTCTGGTTTCTCCCACTGTAGGTCACACTGAAGGTCAGTTTCCACAGCTATAATTATAATGGCTAATAAAATAATGGCTACACAATAAAGTCGTACCCGACTTTCACCAGTGACACTATTATAGTAATACTTGAAGCCTTCGGGAGATATATGTTCTGTCCAATTACATTTGGCAAAAGCCATGTTATGGTTTATTGCTGGTAAGGCCGAAGTAACAATTTTGGATGAAGACACATCTGTAGCAGGTACAGTTGCATGAGTGCTGGCCACTGTTTGTGCTACAGTCCCAGCCCATTGAGACTACATGAATACAAAGATTGGCACATAATTATCAAAGCATCCTCTAATGCAAACTAGAAAATTACAAATGATAAATCCTTTATATCTACAACCAGTCTGATTAGACGACAAAAAAATCTAAGTCAGATAACAACTGCAAATATCAATAAACCTTTTTGTACAACTAATTGTAACAAAACTTCATATAGATCAGACTGATAAAAGCACATGGAGCAACAATATAGATAAAGTAGTGAAACCTTGTACTAGGCAAAATGTTGAACAGCTAATATAATTCAAATTAAAGCTAAACTAAAGCATAGAATTTAACCAAAAATACCTGTTTTTTAGTTGCTTCTGCATTTTGCTGCAATGTTAATGCTTGACTAGAAGGTTGCATCATCTGTAATTGTTGTTGAAGCTGGGAAAAGGCCTGCTGAGATGAATGAAAGCTTGCTTGCAAAGTCTGTGTCTGTTGTGATAACATCTGAGCTAACGGAGAAGGGGATTGCTGAAGAGGCTGTTGTGGCACAGAGGGAGGAACTTGCTGTTGATTTGTAGTTAATGCAGTATTAGATTGCATGCTGGTGTCAAGGGGAGTCTGAGGAAATGCAGCAGACAAAGCACTCTGTTGAGTTTGGGGTTGAGAAGTTGGAAACTGTCCACTTAATCCATGTATCTGCTGAGATGGAAGAGGACCAGCAGAAAGAGGAAGATTTGGCTGGCCATGCTGCCTAAGAGATGTTTGTGGGTAGGGAACTGGTGCTTGAGGGTACAACTCCTGGGATGATTGAATAGGTTTCTGCACTGGTGATATTTGTGAATTGGGTGGTGGAATTTGTGGCATGGGTTGATTGAAATTCTGAAAGCAAAATTAAATTACTGATGTTTCAAGATACCAAAGAATTAATTAATCTCAATTGTTTGCTGAGAATCTTAATACACAAATATACCTGTTGTGGCATCGATGGCATGGACTGAACTTGAAAACGACCATCTATGGGCCCTCCCAAGCTAGTCATAGGACCGCCCTATATTTATTCAAGCAAGTTATAAGCAACAGAGTCGTGAATGTCTTGAAGAGCAACATACAGATACTGGAATAATAAATAATTAAAATAATGGTGAAACAGTGACACAAATAAATTCATCTAACCAGCAATTAGGGGACATTTTTTTCTCAAACATCAAATTTAAATATATTATAAATGCATCTAACCATGACCCAACCCATCATGAGTTTGCACCCATATGGAACACCACGTAGATGGAAATAAGGATACCAATTAAACCCGCACTCGCAGGACCAATCCACATTTGTCCTGAGTTTGACAAGGAAAAATTTAGTTGAACAGGTGTTGGTTTGGATTTTTCTCGCTTTAAAAAATCGGGCGGGAGTAGGACTAATCTCATTCTCGCCTCGACTTTATATTTAAACCAAAACCCTAAAATATTAATCTTTTTAAATTATTTTTCTTTTCTTTCTCAATTATACATAAGATCATTTATTATATATTTCGTACTTTTTACTAATCTCCTCCCCATATTTCATTTTTTTGTCTTTTCCATTATTTTCAACCAAAGAGTTCATTACATTATTTTCTTCTCTCACCTTTCGTTCCTTCATATTTCCTTATCAATTGATTTTTTCCAATCTCTTTAACCAATTTGATAAACACAAAGTTAATGTTTCTTCTTCTTTACCTTCTTCTAAAATTCTACATCAATCTTTAAGTTATTATTCCTATTTATCTTAACAAAATAATTATATTTTTGAAAGATTAAAAAGAATTGATAATTAAAACTTTGTTATTACAAGACAATAATTAAATAAGAATTACCTTAGTAAAAAATTTCTTAAAAACTATATATTTCATATTTATTAAAATTTTAAAATAACTTGAAAAATAATTAACTTATACATATAATCAAATTTTAGAATACAGTGTTATAATAATAATAATAATAATAATGTTATAAATATTTTATGTTTGTATAACATACATATTTTAATATAAATATAATAAATTAAATTATATACTTAATTAATAATAATTAAAAAATTGTAAAATTATAAATATTTAGTTATGTATAATTATTTTTCTTAAAATAATGTAGAACGGGGACAAGAGGCGACGAAACCCAACAGGGACGAGAAGACTTAATTTCTAACCCGACAGAGATTGGGGACAGTAAAAAAAGTTGGGGACGGGAATTGAAGAGGTAAAACCTGCCCCCACCCTATTAGGTCTTTCCTGGGAGGGCTGCACAATAGGGAGATTCTCTCAACAATGGGATACGAGTCAACCATATAAGAGAATATAACATCACCTTCAACCCATAACCTAAGGTATTAGGTTATGCGTCTTTCTTCCTTATATATTGCTCAACCTTTTCAATATTACTCAATGTGGAACTTAGTCTCACACATGGATCTCCCAAAGTTGTCATGCCTAGATGGAAGGATGGGAGGCAAAACAAAGGTCGTAGAGACTCGACACAATAGCATGACAGAGGTCGTAGGCCTTTGACTGTGACTAAGAAGGTTGCAGTCTCTTAAAACCTTGTTCAACAGTGGAAAAAGAGGAGAGGTTGCAAAGTCCTTGCAAATGGAGACACTTTCATGAGAACCAGGTGTTGCATGATGAGTACCTCAAGAGTGGTAAGGGTTAGCTCTGCTCCACTACCCCACAATGCCACAGAGATATTGTGTCATTGACTAATATGGGTAGGTAGATGGTTTTCAAATCTTAAATTAACTCGTGGACTCTTAACAATTTTATAATTCTAGGTGGACAAAGCGAGAAACTTGCTATCAAATTCTTTTCCAGATAGACTCAAGTAAATTCATGTAACCTCTAGAACCAATAAGTGAGTCAATTTAAAATCAAATGTAATTTTATCCACCATATTGACTGTTTTGCATGGTTGTCTTTTGAAATGTTCTCAACTTAGTAACTAATGATTTTATGAAATTATATACGATTTGGTCATTTATCTAGCTTGACCTTATTTACTTCTACTATTATTACACTTTATTATTGTGGTTTGCTACTATGCTTTATTATGAAGTTGAAATTTAGAATTTTTCTTGTGTTAAGAGTATTATGATATGCATATATGTCATTAATAGGTTTTTTAATATTATTTTTTAATATGCATGTGTTTTACATAGACTCTCAAATTTGACATGTGAATTTGTGCACCCATGCACATATCAAGGGAAAATGGAGACTTTATAGCCGCTAATAGGATGAACTAGTAAATGTAGGGTCCTAAAGAATACATTAGTATGTTTTGCAAATTATTGATCAAGGGGCACTTGATGAGGCCAATAATTGAGTTAATTCCACTAAAGGTTCTCATCTTGTAGGATATGGTGAGAATAGATGTACAAAGCATCAACCCCCACAGGCAGATGTTATTTTCAGGCCTCGAACCAATGACCTCCAAGTCTCAAGGTTGCTCCCACACAAGGTGGGGTTCATCAAAGGGTAGGTATTTTTCATGATAGGAACCCGTCACCACCAAGTGACAAGTCTGCAACTTACTGTTGCTTCAAGGCTCTCCCTCTTGGCTAAGTTGATTCAATTAATTTAAAAAAAATTAATGAAACTATGCAGTGTCATTCTTGAGATAGTGGAGTTTTAGAATTTTACATAAAGACAATAAATGACTTGACTGCCTCTCACTTTGCAAAAAATAAAAATAAAAAACAAGTCAACCATAAACATAGTTAAATTGAAGTGTAGGTGATATGTCAAACATTTAGATTATATATATATTACTCATTAGTTTACAATAATACATAAATACGTTCATGATCTAAATGGCTAAGCTTTTCGCAGTAGGCTGCAAAGAGCTTAACAGTTTAGCACCAAGAACACATAGCATCCACAGAATATGCAAAACTAAAGCAACAATAAGATTGGGGTAAATCCAGAAGCACATCTCAAGAAATAAATTGGGGAGGCATTTTGCAATGGATATTTCAATTTAGGGTGAATAAAAATTGTACTTACTGCATTTGTAGGCAATGCCATTTCACCAGATCTTGGAAGCATTGGTGGCCCCATGCCATGAAGAGCAGCATTAGGGGATGGCCCCATATTTGGCGGATGAATTGGTCGCCAAGCATTAGGGGGAGGCATTCGATCACCCATTGGGTCTGCAATGTTGGATGGAAGTCTGCAGAAGGAATTACAGAAAAAATCTTTGTAACAAGTCCTAACCTGACAAGAATTTAATATAGGAAGCAAAAGGTAGAAGGAAAGAGTAAGAAAAGGTCGGAGGATACCTTGAGCCTGGTGCATCAAATCTAGGACCAAATCCAGGACCTCCAAAGGCAAGACCCCTGAAGCAAGCCAAGAAAAATTTTAAAATCTCTTGTTCATATGTGAATAATATCCATTGGAAACAGCAATTCTATGATGGTCAGAACAAACTAATTTTTCCTTATTTTTGCATTATACAGCAGCTGATTCATTTTCTAAGCACATATGTCAAGAAAATTATTAGGTCTAAGCTCCTTATGTAATTCAAGTACAAATTCAAAGAGAAATTCCTTCCCATCACCCGAGGAACATAAAGTAAATAAGTGGCAAGAAAGAATGAGCTTGTTTGGGTGAGAAATAAGGAACAAGGAAAAATTCCTTTTGTCAACTTATACATCAAACTAGCATTGTTTAAGGCCTCTTCCATTTGAAGAGTTTCTTTTTAAAATGTTGGCTAACCAGACTGAGCAAAGCAAACATAACAGAACATCCAAATTCAAATTAAAAAGAATACTTCCGGCCTAGGCTTGATTTCATGTTCACAGCAGATAGCACAAGTCAATTTCTAGGTCAAATGTCAACAGTCCGTGGTTCCATGCTTGTTTTAATCTATCAGCAAGGACAAACCTGGAATCTCCTTGACGAGGCCTTTTAGGATCAGCAAACCGGACAATTAGTGGTTGCTCACAACCCTATGCAGAAAAATACAAGCTTAACCAGAATGCATTCATAAGAAGAATTATTGAAAGGAAAAAATATTTGTTTTCCGTACTCTCATTGTGTAGATTCCATCAAGTGCACTAATAGCTGCCAGAGCCATATCTCTGTGCGAGTATTTGACAAAACCACATCCTTCAACCAAAAATATGGGAAAATATTATCTGGTCCGTATTGCCATCAACCACAAATAAACATACAGAGACACAAAAAACTAACCCCAGAATAAAAATAAAATGCCTTCAGACATAGATGAGAACAGTAAAAAACAATTGCTCACTTTGCATCAACCAATTCATACTTTCCTCAAGGACAATTATGAAACTGAGAAGCACAGAAACCAATCCCTTGCCCCCATGGATCCATACCCATCCCTGATCAATATATAGCTAATATCACATAGGTAGGAAACATACCACGACTTTGTTTCTTCTCATCGCGCATAAGATAAACATCTTCAACCCGACCATATTTTGAGAAAATCTGATGCAAGAGAAAGTACACATCATGAATTAGTTATGTAATAATACCTCACATATAGTACTATAGAGGTATTAAATAAAGTTAGCAATTTCTTAAACACAGATATTTCCTTGTGCCAAAATGTCCCTTTTGCAACACAACGCACAAAAATGTCCACTGAAAATAGTATAACAGTTTCTAAAGTAAAATTTGATTACAGCAAAAACATACTTCCTCAACTTCCTTTACGGTAGCCTGTTTGTTCAGAGAGCCCACGAATAATTTGTATTCAACTGCACCTATCACATAAATTAAGTTGCATGAACATGAAACAGTCAGTACAATAATTAGATGACTGAGAAAAATTAGATACAAAAGCACAGCCATGCATAAATTCTTTCCCTGCCTAACAATAACATTGCTAGTTTTCTTTCTTTATCAACTAATTCAGGTAGGCATGTTTTATTAGAAGCTTTATATGTATTTTGGAAAAACAAGATGTGAAATAGACAGGGCGTCTAGAACATATGAATGAATTAATAAGAGGGACATGTATTATGCCCCTAACTTCAATTGTTAAAATCAGACACAAGTTTCCATGCATTAAAAATGTTTCAAACATTTCATCAGATTTCACAAGGTCCATCTCATGCAGAAGATTTGACAATCAGGCCACAGAACTCATGTTTTAGTTGTGAAGTGGAAAAATTACACCTATGATGATTATGGATACCTTAACAGATTTTTTTAAAATCCTTGTGCACACTATACATGTGGTAGTAAGAATTTTCAAGCCTAACAATATCAATAAATATAAATATTTACCGAGGCGTTCCCGTTCACCATCAGCATAACGCACTTGGATTGGACCGACACCCTAAATGATAACATACATCATTAGAAAATAACAAACCAATAACTGTACGTTGCCCTCACTATTTACTATCTACGATTCAGAAACACAACAACTCACTCCAGGAAGAGTATGTTGATTGTGCAATGCTCTAATTGCCTGATCAGCTTCTTCTGCAGTAGAATATTTTATGAAACAACAACCTGCATGACAAAGATACTTTATACCAGTTTGATTAAATAATACAACACCCCAAAAAGTGTGCCGACAAAAATAGAAAAATAAAACTTAATGTGAATCTATTTTAAACTTTTTTTGGTTGCTTTAAAAGCGTAAAACCATTTGTGATGAGGCAAAATCATCCAAACATCAATATATCACATGAATCTATATTTTCACAATAAAATCAACTCCCAGATGCAGATCAAATGACTTTGACACTCATATAGCTAGAAAAATCGTACTGATAAACACCAACGTAGACTGTTTTCTCCATACTGCTTTTCTCCAGCATCTAGACATTTCACAAGCTTTGAAAATAGCTATCTGATACCTACTATAACTTTAACATACAAAAAATTGGAAGGACTATATCGTTATATGCAACCACAGAAATCGCGTTACCAACACCAAAACTACTTGCCTATATTTTATATATGCCATAGGAGATACTCTCACTCACTCACAAGATAGATAATCAAATATGAATTACATTATCAAACATTCACATCGATGATCATTCAAATTTAGTCAACCGAACTTCATACCCATAACAGTAAAAAATCATGACATTCTAAGGCATTCAATCAATAACAACTTATTTCACCAAAATGAGAAACATTAAACCTTAAGAAATACATTGTGATTAACACTATTCAAATGTAACAATCCATGTTTATCCTCTGTTGCCTTTGTACAATAACTGACTTCTAAAATTTTGAAGCTAAAGCCTATAGATATGGTATCTGACACTCCAACTACAATCAAATGTTGGGTAATGCCCCCACAGCTGCAGCCACAATTGCTAGAGCAGGATCTTTTGGTCCTCCAAGATCCCATCTGCTATACAAAGAGCAGCTTATAGGTTTACATGTTGTGGCTCCTTCAAGTATGACAGTACGGGAAAAAAGCTGGAACCAATACTAACAAGTCTGAACTTGTAGCAAAAACAAACTGAGAAGATGAGCTATTTTCTCTACAATCAGCCTCTCAAAGAACCTGAAATAAAGTGTATACGAATCAAAATAGCCTCAGAATATAAAAATAACAAATACCTTGATATTGTCCTGTCTTTCTATCTTTGATGAGAGCAACCTCAATCACATTCCCATGTTCCTCAAACAGTGGGCGAATCTGGTGTCGAACATGGCAAAGCAAGATAATAGTTAGTCATTAATGAACCAAACTAAACTAAAGTAAATACTATTAACTTTACAGAAAATAAGAAATCATTAAGCTATATAACTTACATCATCTTCAGTGGCTGTTCGGGGAACAGACCCGACAAAAAGTTTGGCAAAATTTCCTCCTTCTAAACGATCTGAATGGGAAAAATCGTGTCAAATGTTTCAGTTACACCAATGTTGTAAGTTATAATTGATTCCAAAGTTAAAGAAACGACAAAAAACCGTATTGCAGATTGTAGAAACAAGAGAAACAGCTCAAGGTCATGTAAATTATAAAGTAACATGACCCCTAAACACGCTGCAGCATCCCAGTACCTCCAAAAGTAAATAAACAAATAAGTCGCTTTTCCCCACAGAAAAACCTCCCGGGAACAGCATTGTAAATATCCAATTATTGACCAAACAGCACTCATAAACCCTAACTCCTACCAACAGTTTAAAGACTATAGTCTTACTTGGATAAACGCCACTATAAGCACTCACAGGAAAAGAAAATAAGATAAAATGAATTAAACTTCGCTCAAAAGCTAAAATAACTCCTCCCGAAGTCACAATTAATCTCTCCCATAAGTTGAAATTAACCTCTTCCCTTTATTCTCCTTCCCTAAAAGAGTTCATCAAAGCAATGTTTGTATATGCTACAAACTTACAAGACATAAGCAATTGATTCCTACAAGACATAAAAGCAACTGATAGCTAATATGAGACAGGACATAAGCAACCCTAGAAGCAAGACCCATTCCAAGAAGTTGCAAGAATTACTACAATGCCGCAGTCGCAAAAATTAAAAATCTTCGAATACAAAAGCCCTCATTTCAACAATAGATATTCAGTAACCAAACACGACAAAAAGAAGAAGAGAATAAAAACTCACCAGGTGAACCGCTACCGCGTCCTGAGACGGGAAAACCTCGTTTCTGGCCAGCCAGCGGCGGTGGCTGGTGACCATTGAATCCGAATTCCCCAGGACCCTCGCCGCCCATAGGCCGGAATCCTCCTCCCCTGCCGGGGGAGCGACGCGGAGGACTGTCGAATGCACGGTGGTGAGGGGCGGCGCCGGAGCGGAAGCCGGAAGGGCTCCGGCGGGTGTTGTGGTAGGTCATGGGAGAATCAGAGAAGCGTCCCCTGTTAGAGTGACGATAGTTGTCGTTGTGGAAATCATTGTTGTTGCTGTAACGGTCTCCTCTGTGCCTCTCCAGCTTGGCCTGGCGTAACAGAGCGAAACCCTAACCGAAACCCTAGCTACCGAAAGATGACGGAGAAGTGCGTGCGGGTGAGTTTTGTGTTCCTTTGCTTTGCTCCGGTGGAGTGACACCTTTTTCTGGCTACGATGCTATGTTACATACAACACACCAATCATAAATTCATAATTAATAAATAACCAATGAGACTCGATGAAGAAATGAACGACGACTTGACCCCTGTTTCTTTGTTGGAATCAATTCTTATTAATGGGCCATCTAATGCGGTCACTCCTTTTGTCTCGCGGCCCTTTAAAGGCCCTGTAAGTGTCTATCAAATGGTCTCATTTCATTTCAAACCTTACGTCCACTTTCTCTATCTGAGTTTCTGTTTGGACAAATAAAATTATGTAAAAATAAATATGTAAATAAATTGAAAATATGTAAAAATTATTTGAATTGAAAATAAATAACTAAATTATAATTAAAATGATTAATTTTATTGATTATAATTATATTTTTCAAACATAAATTTAATAAAAAAATATAAACTACAATTAAAATATAATTTAATATGAAATAATTATTTGATAAAATAGATAAATATAAAAAATTTAAATTAATAATACATAAAATAAATCATATTATATTTTATACACGTATTTATAATGTAATTTTTTTATTTGATAATGTGAGAATATTAAAATATTTGTTTTAAATATCATAAAAATGTATGATTGAAAAATATATGAAAGTTATAATGCTTTAAATTATTAAATTCTAAAACACCGAAATATTAAAATTCTAATGAGATGCTTTTAAATTCTTTAAAAAAAATTAAAAAGTTAAAGTTTCTTTAAGAAGATTATAATTATCAAAATATAACTTAATGATTTTATGGTAAAAGATTTCTCTTCTTATAATAAAAAATTATTTTGAATCATTACTTATTTATAGTTTTAATTAATTGTTAAGTAATTTATAATTAAATATTAACACAAATTTTTATTTTAAATTTATAAAATAATCTATATATATACATTAATTATAATTATACAGTAATGAAATTTTAAAATTTTATAATTTGTATGAATGTGTTACAAATACTAATCCATTATATAAAAAAATAACTAATTATATAAAAAGTTATTTAATTATATTGTTTAGATCCTACCAAATTATTCCTTTTTAATTATTTATTTATTTCAAATAACTCGATTGATTCACTCAAATTCATTATCTCTTTAACCTATACTGTATTAAAAACGAAAAAGGCTTAATAGAAAATTATTTTAAAAGGGTAATATACCTTCTTAAATTTATAAAAGGCTTAACTTTCTGTGATAAAAGGTAGACTGTTTAATTTGAATTTATGAAGGGAGCACGGTTTCAACCATCCACTTTAATCCGTCCCATCATCTCTACAACTATAGTATCAAACGTAAGCTTAATGTCTTTTACTCTCTAATTCTTTTCTCCCTGCAGCCATATATTTGCATTCAAAGTGAATAGCTGCTGCTAAACACACTCTCTCGAACTCGGTGTTTGATCAAAACCTAAAATATTATGCAAAACCCACAGAAAACACAGAATAACGTAACTTACAATCATGCGGCCCTAATTTTCGTTACATGGAGTTATATTCAAATAAAAATTTTCCGTTAAATTGTAAAAAAGAAAATATTACTCAGATTGTTGGATGTGGTAATGCCTCTAAGAACCCCTTCCTTGGTCACACGAGACAAAATCACTACAGATTTCTGGCAAAGCAGATATCCAAGTCATTTATAAAATTAACAAAACAAGTTGCATTAAAATTAAACACAACTTATCTCTGCATGTAATACAAAAACATCATTAGTAATAAACTGGTTGAATAATTAGTAATAAAACTTTTTTAAGGTTGTATACATGTACCCAATGAAGGTGATGAAGATGCTATACAAACATACAGTCTGATTGTAGATTAATCCCATCAGAGGCCGAACCTATCAACCTCCTCATCTTCGTCCTCATCTATAGCATTCTCATCTTCAGTATATATCCCCAAATCATCATCATCATCCATTTCCTCGTCCTCCTCAACCTCGTCTTCCTCATCCATCATGCTTTTACTTTCACTTTTTGGTTTGTCCTTTAAACCAGTGGTCAAGACTACAGTTTCTCCTCCAGATTTCTCCATGTCTCTCCTCAGTTTATCCATGTTGTCCTTCCTGCGATCTTCCTCCAAACGTTGCTTCTCTTCACGTCTTTTATCAAGATCAGCCCTGAACAGTGCACGATCCAAAGAAGTTATTTGGTTAGCCATTTCAAACACCCTGCTATATACGCTAAATCAATAGTAATATAATATGCTAAATCAATTCTAATGTAATTGTGAAACTAAGACAATACTTGTAGGTTTCCATGTATTCCTCTGCACTGGCTTCAACAGCCTTAAAGAAAGCTTCCATTCCTGCACCAGAAACTGCAGAAACTCCGACTGATTTCAAATTGTTGTAGAATTCATCTAGCACGAGAGAAAGGCTTTGAGTTAAAGTTGATGTGTATGAGTGATCTGAACTTGCTGCTGCTTGGAATGCCTCAAAATCCTCCATCCACTAGATACACAATGAATTTCACAGAAAAAGTATATATTGGTTAGCAGAAACAAAAGCATTTCAGCTTAAATTGCCAAAGGAAGGAGTCTATAACCCCTATAATGCCCGTATGCTCAATCTCTATGCAATAAATTCCCCAAATTGCGGGGAAATTAATAATTATCTCCATCAATATCAATTTCCATTTCACTGCAATTTCTCAAATTTAAATTACTTATTGGCGTTAACTTCAATTTCTCCAATTGAAAGCGATGTCAAGTTCAACTAGGCATAGTGACTAGTGTATACTAGGGACTAGTGTTTATACACGCAATGTTTGTTAAAAGTCATAGATATTCAATAGAAGGGAGACAAAAATAAATATGCCTAATTGAGAAATCCTTCAAAAGAGAACAATTATATTCAATTCCCACATCATAGGAGTACGATTCCATCAACTTGAATGTTATCATTTCTGGTTTTGTAAAATCTTCTACTATGAAGCCAAACCAAAAATCATAGATACAGACCACCAGTCATTACATTCCACTGTTTTCGTTTGAAGTTTAAACACAAGACCCAGTGCTAAAAAGCCAACAATTACAATGTTTTGTAGATTAAACAACTTTCAACATAAAACAATTAAAGGTTAACATAGGATCAGTTTGTTTAAGATTACAAGGTGATTTTGGAATACATAATTTAGTGATTATTTTGTAGAGATTAAAAAAAGACAGAATTTGATTCATATGAGAGCTAAATGATTTATATGAGAACTGATTATAATAAGATTTCTGATTCTTTTCAGCTTCTGGTTAGTTTGAAAAGCTGTAAGAAACACATAGAAAACCAAAAACAAAAAAAATTATATCTACAAAAAGGTGATTATTTGGTGAAAAAAAGCTTAAATAAACAGGCCCGTAATTACAACCTGATTTAGTGAGTGGGTAGATCAAAATATCTTATTACCCAAAAAAAAAAATGAAGTTACTAATCTAACCCACGCATCACTTGCAATAAAACTAAACAAAAGAAAAATCATCAGAACTAAACAATACCTCCAATGCAAACTGATGTGCTGCTACATCAACCTTGTTGAATGTCAAGATGAGAGGTAACCTTGTTTTATAGAGGATACTGCATGCGTACAACATATTACTCATGAAAGTGGTAGGATCTTCTGAACGAGGTGTATCTACTACATAAGCCACTACAGTGGGAAATGTGGATGCAAAAGCTTCTGTAATGATAGCACCAGAAGCAGACCAGGTAAATATTTCAATCTGACCAGGAGTATCCACAAGCACATAGTCAAGTTGATCCGCTCGTCTCTCAATTACAGAAATTACCTGCAAACCAGGGATCATACACATTAAAAAATATAGTGATAATAAAAACAAACAAGGACCTAAGTGAGCCTCTAAACAGATAAAAAAAATTATATCAATTATTGCACCAAGAGCTTAATTAGGAAAAGTAAAAACATAAGTTCAAACAAGCTCAACGGAAGCTCTCCACTTCAATAATTAAAATTGAAAAAGGGATGATTTATTACTATTACAAGCAGGCAGCAACCTTATTTGTGACACTATTTATAAGTAATACAAATAAGATCACATGTTGAAAGTCTGTCTACCTGTGGATAACCTTATCTGTGTAAAAAGTCAGATATGTCACAAGCTAGGTAGTTTCAAAGATTAACAAATCACCAATACCTCATCAAACTTGGTGGCAAACAAGTTCAGGGAAGTCAAAATTCCACCATTAGGACCAAGGTTAAACTGCTTCATAACTTCTTTGTATTTAACAGTATCTCGTATGTCAATGTTCGCAGCATATGGGAGTGTCATGACCGCAGGGTCAAGATTCATCACATAACCTCGAATGTTTTTCATATGTGTATGGCAAACCAACCTATGCATGAGGGTCGTTTTCCCACTTCCTAAAACCACAAACAAGGTTGATCTTCCAGGGTGTCATTCATAAAACATAGTATAAAAATGACAAACAATTCCAACACCTAGCATGGCAAATATATATTCAAAATCACCTGCCATTCCTACAACAATAATGATGACAGGTTTTCTTCTGATGTTAGACAATTCATTCCCAGAAGACGATCCTTCAATATGCAGTTTGTTCATAGTCTCTGTGAGTTCCTCCTTTTCTTCGTCTTTTACCTTTAAAACATACCAGAGAATAAATAATTCTCAGAACCACATTCAAAATTGGAATTTAAATCACCAAATTAAAAAAAAAAAAAAATATATATATATATATATATAGTTAGGGTTTATCCATAATAGAATAACAATTTAACTATCTTATAGAAGACTAGTACAACCTAGTCGCGAGAAGTCAACAGCACAATCTAACTTTAAACTAAACTTCTGCGTTAGGAAGTGCAAGTCAATTTTTCGTTTCTAGTTTATTTTCTATCCTAGAGCAGAATGAGGAAACAAAAGAGTGGAAAGAGAGAAGCTTGTTGGTACTTGACAGCAGGGAGTGTCGCTGGAATCCATTTGCATGGCATCGGTGTTGTCGAGTTTTGCGCCGTTATCGGCATTCATTTTCGATAGACTAGGTTCTCCGAGTTGTGGAGACGGGGAGTGAGACTGCATAGCAAAAGAGAAAAGTTGGGTTTTTATTTTACTTCTTGTTGTTCTTTTCCTTAGTCGTGTGGGTTTACGAACGAATCCAATCTGTCAACTAAAAACGACAGCGTTTATAGTGTATTTGACATGGTATCAAAATCGCAATTCGGATATTGAGATCGTCCGAACCTACGATGTTTCCTCTCTTCTTCGACTTCGCATGCCACCAGATAACGTGGGATCGTCGTCTCTGTCCGTGTGAGTTCGACGACGCTAGCGTGGGCGGCTGGGTCGCTGGGTGTGTTGTGAGGGTGGCGGCTATAAGGTTCGGTTGGATGTGTGACCTAAGTATAATTAGGTAAATCTCCTCATCAGCCCAATAATCCAGCCCAATCCTACTTTCATACTTCAAAAAATAAAAGTGTGAAGGCAGCATCAATCAAACCCATTCATACTTAGTTAATCCTTAAATAAATAAATATAGTGTATACAGGTTTTTTTTTTTATACAATATTTTATGTACAATAAATTATATTGTTTAAACCAATATTTAATTACAATAATTAGGTTTATATTGAATATAATAATAGTAACTTGATTTTATTAAAATAATTATATCAATATTTTTTTACCAATTTATTCAATATTAGAATAAGAAGTGACTACTAAAAATTCTCGTATGAAAATATTTTTATAAAATTCATATAATTTTTTCATGCAAATTACAAGAAATAAACTTTTATAAGAAAATTTACAAGAAATAACTAATATTTTAATAATAAGTGTTTTTACACTGTGTTAATCTTTTAAAAAAAATATTATATATATTAAAGAATTAGAGAGTAAAAGACATTAAGTTTACGTTTGATACCGTTGTAAAAATGAAAGGACGGAATAGAGTGGATGGTTGATATCCATTATATAAGTGATTTGCAAAAAGAAAGTATGGTATATTATAAATTACTTCCAATAAAAAGAAATGTGAAGAGAAAGAAGTTAATTTGAAAATAAATAATACGTATATTACCCTTTTAAATTACTATATTAGTAGTGTATCAATGATTATTGCTATGTAAGTTTCCATAATTAATTATATGATTTAACATAATCCATTATGAGTAAATTTATTTTTGCTTTATTATTTTTTTTATTTTTAATACTATATTTTTATGTTTTAAGTTTTATATATATTTTTTATTTTATTTTATAATTTTTCCAACCCACTTAATATTGTATTTTGTTTTAGATGAAAAATATTTTTTTTATTAACGTACATGACAATTTTTTTTTACAAATTTAGAAAAATGTCAAAATATTATATTTTATTAAAATTGATAAATTTATAAAAATAATAAACAATTTAACAAACAATATAATAATCACTCAAATTAAATTTTACCATGTCTAATTTTAAAAATAATTATAATTTTTGTAATAATTACACTTCTAACATGTATTTTATTTTAATGTCATTTAAATATTGTATTGTTTTAAAATAATATTTAACAATTTTGAAAATACTTATAAATTATTATCAAGATAATAACAAATTTTAATATTTTTATAAAATATTATAAAATTAATTTTATAATTTATATATAAATTAATTTTAATGTATATAGATTTTTATCTATGAATTATTTTATATTAAATTAGATCATAATTCTAATTTATATTTATTTTTCTTGTTATAAATGATAAATATATTTGGTTTAATATATATTTTATTGTATTTTTTTTTTTAATCAAGTCAATCTTATCTTCTATCATCTTTTTGTTCATTTTTCTCTGCTTTTACTTATTTTTCTTTTTATTCAAATAATCATATTTTTCATTTTCTTTCTCTTCTCTTTCCACTCTCTCAGATCCACTTCTTAATCTAAAGCTTAAAAAAAACAAAGGAGGTAAAAATAAAAGGAAAATAGATCCAAAATTTGCATAAAGAAAAGAAGGAAGATAAAAATAAAAGAAAAATAGATCCAAACATAGCATAATGGAAACAAGAGAGGTATAAATACAAGAAAAATATAATTGAAAAGGATTAATAGATAAAATGAAAACTAGAAAGTGGAAAAAATTTTCTTTAATTGTTTGAAGTAAAAAAGGTAAAAAGTCTAATTTTAAAAAAATAAAAATTAGCTTAAGCAAATTTTCCATGTGTTCTTAGTATAAAATCATTTATTATCCACTTCAGTTTTACAAATGTAAATAATGTTCACTTGCCATGCTGAGTGGAGAAAGATTATACAGTTCACTTCCCACGTTTTAATTTACATGTTTTTTGGTCGTTTTATTAAATAGAACAGTTTTTAACTATTTTTATTTCCTTATTTTCATATATCACCTTCGTCTTAACTTCTCATCATCTTCAAACATTCTCTCAATCAAACAAATATAAAAAAGTATAATATTTTGTTCGGATAAAAAAAACTCTGAGAATACATAAAAATGGTAGTATAATGGAAATAAATTATAAACAAAAATAATGAAAAAAACAATTTTTTATTGAGAAGTAAACATATTTATTATTATTAGAAAAATAAAGTTGTAAACAAAAAATAAATCGCCATAATATATTATGAAGATATAATTATGAAACATTATTTAAAAAAAAAACTCTTGTATCTCATAATAGTAGGAGGTTGACACTTTCTTCTTTGTATTGATTTTGTTTTTTATTAAACCTTACACTTATTTTTTTTATATATATTTTTTTAACTTTCTTTTTATCCTAAGAAAAACTCTATGACGCACCCCAAACAAAAAATGGAGAAAACTTTAATTTCATCTGAAATATTATTTTTCTCATCAATTAATTTTTATAGTAAAAATATTATACATATGACTTGAAAAATTAGAAACTATATATTATGTAATTTTTAGATATTAAAAATTATTCAAATTTTTTATACAAGATTAAATGTGTCTGTTATGAAATACATTGCGTAGATAAAAAAAATGTAATTACAAACAATTGGACTGATTGATATGTTCGATAATTATTAAAATGATTATTTAATATTTTAGAAACAATGAAATATTTTTTTTAATTACTTCCATAATTATTAAGAATAAAAAGTGGCATTTGAAAGAGAAATAGGGGGTTTACCAAAAAAGATTAAGAGAAAGGAAAAGAAGAAGATAACACTGTATACTAATCATACACCTTTGCTTTGTAATAATGGAGGAATCTGAAAACAGAGAGGAACATTCTGCATAAAATATTGCACAATAATTGATGTAATGTTGCAACTCTTATAGTCCCACATGAATTGAAAAGCATGGGAAGATTTTAATTGATTCATGAATTCCCAGAATAGTTAATTTAATTAGCCCAGTGTATTTGTTCTTTTCCTTCACAATAAGACTCAATAATGATGTCAACACGTGCCTTCCTAATTTTCCAAAGGAAACCCACAAAGTTTTAACACGGTGTAACAGCCGTTAGATCATTTTGTCATATTCAAAATTTGGATGAATATTATGAATTTGTGAATTGTGAAAACTTTAATGTGATTATTAGCTATGTTAAATTTTAATTTTATTCCTATTATTTGTCGGATCATAAAATTGAACTGCATTGGTACAAGTTTACCTTATTTTGTTGCATCCGTAAATCAAGTTGGTTCAATCGATTTTATACTGATTCGAAACAATTTACTATCCAAACGAGTCCCTAATGATACAGAGCAAATGGAAGTCTCTGAACTCAAAGTGCGTTTTATCGTTGGTGTTTTACTTCTAAAAAAAGCAGGTTAGTTTTCTTCCTTTCTAAAAAACAAATTACATTGCTAATTAAAGTAAAATGGTTAAATAAATAACAAAGAAAAACATATGAAAAGTAATATTTATCTGTCAAATGAGACAAGTGGGTGCGACGCAATTAGTTATCCAAACCGTGACGTTCACAATCGAAAACAACGTTTTCCAGCTTACGTGCAATCACGTCATTAACAGTCCCAATAAAGTCGAACAGAATCTCGTTTAGTCTTTTTCTTTAGTACTATATTATTAATGATTACTATTACTAATAATAATGTAATTATTATTATTATGATATTTTTATTATTGAGACAGTAAATGATGATAATTACAAAATTAAAGGACGCATAAAAGATATGTTTCAGTTGCATTTCGGAAACAGAACGAGCTTGATAGAGATAGAGAGAGGGAGAGAGATATATTATATATAGAGAGAAAGAGTTTGTTTGTTTGCAATTGCGTTGTTGGAAAACGAAAGAGGAATGGCGAAGCACGAGGAGCTCCCGATCCCGATTTACGATAACCTAGAGTTTGTATATGGGGATGGTTCCGCGCTCGAAGAAGCTCAGCTTCGTTTCGATCACTTGAAGTCCAAATTCTTTGAAGTTTTCAAACATCATCCTCAAGTCTTCGCTCGTTCACCTGGTTCCTCTCCCTCTCTATCTCTGAATTTCTAAATTATTTAATCTCTTTTACTTCTTAATTCAGCTTTAATGTCAATGCTATGTTTAATTGTTAGTTTGTATGATAGAGATTAGAGTTTTGCCGTGTTTTATGATAATTTGGTTTTTGTGGTGAAGGGAGAGTTAACTTGATTGGGGAGCACATTGATTATGAGGGGTATTCGGTGTTGCCTATGGCTATTCGGCAAGATACGATCGTAGCGATTCGTAAGAACGAGGCGGAAAAGGTTCTTAGGATTGCTAATGTCGACGGTGAAAAGTATTCTGTTTGTACTTATCCTGCTGATCCTCTCCAGGTGGATCCTCGAATCCTTTTGTGTTCTAAATTCTCTTTCAGAATGTGTATTTAATAATCTTTATGATTTATTTTCACAATAAGATCGTCCTGTGTAGTTTATAATTTGATATGATGTTCTTTGGTTGTGCTTTTCATGCAGGAAATCGATTTGAAGAATCACAAATGGGGCCATTATTTTATTTGTGGGTGAGTTTATTTCATATTCATATTTTTTTTTCTCTTGCAATTTTCCGGTTCTTTTAAGGTATAATGGTTGCAAGCTTAGTTAGATGTATATGCTTTGT